CCTGAGGTGATCATCGTCGGCTCGGCCGCCTCCAGCTGCGCCGGGGAGGGGTGCTTGTAGGGCACATACCCCTCGCTCACCGGGACGTAAAGGTTCTGGGGAACCGGAGGGATCCCCGCCGCCGACACCTTCGCCGTAGGTCCGCTCCCCTCCTGGATGCGTCGAGCTCGCTGAGGCTCCGGTCCTGGCGTCCACGGATCCGGTGGCAGGATCGGGAAATGGCTGTTCTTGTACGCCTCCACCATCCGAGCTGCCTTCGCCTTGGCGTCCGCACGATTGACCTTGCCCGCCTGCTTGTCGATCTTGCGCTTCTCGGCCTCGAAGATCTCCTCCGACGTCTTGTCCCTCAAGAAGAGGCGCTGGGAGCACTGCCGGCAGTGCTCGTAGACGCTGGTGGAGTTGCTCCCCGACTTGCGAGCCCATGGCGGGTGAGGACACGAGTCGGCGGGGAAGCTCTCGACGAACGTCTTCGGAAGCGTCTGGCAGAGATGCTTCATCCGGCCCAGGATGTACGTCATGCTGACCAGGCGCAGGTACCAGTTGCGCCAACGATACTCGTACTTCCCTAGCTGCATGCGGCCGTCCTGGAAGAGCTCCTTCTCGTTCTCCTGCATCCCCTCGGCCCTCAGGGTGTCCTCGAGAGTCTCCGGAAGCCGCTCCCACTCCTGTCCTGACGACACCTCGCTGTCGCTCTCGATGATGGAGCCCAGCAGCTTGCTGCGCCTCGGAGTCCCCGGCTTGCTGCCGATCCCCGTGGTCTTCAGGACGGGCTTCTTGCGATCGGGCATCCGATCCTGCGTCGTCGCCCTCCGGGCTGGTCGAGGCCAGGCTGAGCTCCCTGACGTCTTGAACCGGACAGGCTACGGACCCGCTGCTCCCCGGGACCCCCGAGGCTTTCGGATCCCGGACCCTGGAACCCAAGACAGAGCCAGAGCGAGAGAGAAAGGAGAGAAAAGCTGAAAGCACAGGCTGCTCCCGGCCCTCACTGCCCGCTCCCCTTCGGTCCTGAACGAGGTGCGGCAGGCAGCCCGCGGGCAGGCTCGCCTTCAGGTCCTCGGGGATGCTGAAGTACTCGGGAGCGCAGTGAATGAGAACCGAGCGATGCCCGGACGGCATCCTGAAAAGCTGCCTCACGACTCTGTCTCCGCAATCTGTCACGGTCATCTCGTCAGTCTTCAGATCAATGTTGGCCTCGATCATCTCAAGAAACTTGGCGGGCAGGATCGGCGGGACCTGGCCCTCTAGGATTAGAAACTCGATGAACCCGCATCCTGCCAAAGAACATGGCACCCAGGTCCTGCCCACCGTCTTGGCCAATCCACCGATGCCTGAGGCCTTGCGGCCCTCGAGCGGAGTCCAGTCGACGTACACGAAGTAGCCACGCTTGCGAAAGGCCTCGACCAGGTTCTTCACGTCCGGGGTTCCGATGAGGGCCTGGCCTGCTGCCGTGTCCACCAATGCGAGATCCCTCATACTCTTGAGCGAAACCTCCGGTGTCTCCAACTGGCCGATCAGGCCAACCCACTGTTCGACGCTGAAGGTCGCCCACGTAGATGACTCAGCGGCTTCACCGGCGGAGAGGACGATGATCGAGTCGAGGTCGGCCTCGAGCTCGTAGTCGTCAGAGTCGCACGGATACTGGCCCAGCTGTGTCATCCCCGCGTCTGCGAAGGAGATGGTCTGCTTCAGGTCGTGGACGGCCACGAACCCGTCGCAGTAGCTCTCGTCGAGGTCGTCCTCCGACTCGAGCTCCATCGTCGTAGCATCAGTCAAGAACGAGGGGTCCCCGTCGGCGTTGGAGTAACAGAAGAACCCAGGAGAGGACCCTTTCGTCGCGGCCGAGGACGAGGCTCCCTTCTTCTCGTTATTGATCCGGTCCAGCTTCGATCTGTAGGGCTTCCTGCAGTCCTCTGCCCAGTGTCCGCGCTCACCACAGTTGGCACATCTCGTCTTCTTCTTCAAGTCGGCTGAGGTGATGCGACGATATCCGGGCTTGGACGCGCGCCTGCGGTCGAAGAATTCACGATCAACCTTGCGAGTAGCCTTCATTTTGCGAGCCTCGGTCCAAGTCCTGCGTTTTTCCTTCCCAATCTTTTCCTCGATGATGGCGGCCAGCACGGGCATCAGGTCGTCCTCCGCCAGATCCTGCTCCTCGAGTGCCGTGAGGAACGTCTGAGCGTCATCCTCGAGGAGCTCGAAGGAGTCGTCCACTGTCTCGTAGAACGACACCGCCTCCGGATCGTCGCACCACGGGGCCGGAGGTGGCTGAACCTCGAGCTCCTCCAGAGTCTGCTCCACATAGGTCTTCGTCGCCGTAGAGGTCGATCCAGGGAGCACGCTGCGCTCGCGCACATCCAGCAACAAAAGAGCCTGTCTGATAGCCTGGAACGACTTGTCGCCTCCCGCCAGCGTCCTCAAGTTGATTTTATTTTGTTGACTGAGATTGGCGCCCTCCTCCAGATATCTTGCGAGAACCCCGTCGGGAAGCTTCAGTCCGAAGGTCTCCGCCGTCGAGATCTGGGCGTCCCTCCTGAGGACGTAGTCTGTCAAGCTCTCGCCCCGGCGGATGCTGTAGTCGAAGAGTGCCTCGTTCTGTGCTTCCCTTTCCTTATCACCTGGGCGCTCCCCGTTGAGTATCGCTAAGTGGTCCAACAGCTTCTCCACGCCGTCGCGTACATCTAGGGTCGATCTCACCAGCTTGAATTTGCTCTGGATCTCGACGGGGAGAGTCTCCAGAACTTTGGCTGCCTGAACTTCAGCAGCGTACCCGGTCCTCCTCGCCCATGCACGTAGATTACCCTTGTAGAGATCGAGATGCTCATAGTTGAGCCAAGTCGGCGGCGCGCCGAAGTCACGGTTCGGGCGATCCCATGAGCCACTCCACCAGCCGCCCCACTGGCTCGAGTCGCTCTGCCCTTCCTGCTCCGTCGCCGCCGCCGCTGCACCTGTGGGGGCCACGCCAGCCGCGGCCGTGTCCGCCGCCGCTGGCTGAGCTGGCACCCACTGCCACGAGCCTGCCGTCGAGCTCCACCCTGACCACGCGCTGCCCCATGTCTGGCGCCACCAGGGGTCCTGGGCGCCAGCTGAGGTCGCGGCCCCGGCTGCGGGGCGCGTGGTCGTCTCCGGAACTGATCCGGCCCAGGGATCCGTCGGCGTCGTCTGCGTCTGGCCATGCTGTCGGCCGGTGCCCGCATCGTCCTCCCCCTCTTGCCCCTCACCAGAGGCTCCGCTTACCATTGTCCCAAGCTGAGAGCACGGTGGGAAGTGTGGAAAGGGGGCGAAGGGGGGAGGATACGTTTTACAAAGCACCAGGCGCGCAGCCTAAGCCCAAAGGGCTACGGAAGGAGTCCGAGCCCTAACCCACGGCTAAACCCGAAGAGCGGGGGAGGAGAGGTCGAGAGAGAGGGACCGGGGCCCTCGAGGGCCAGAGGGCCACCGGGACCCCACGGACCTCCGGGACCCGGGCCCCGGGGCCCGAGGGGGACAGTGTTGCGCCATTCGTGGCGCTCGTTTGGGAGCGGAGCGGGAAGGGGGAGAGGAAATGGAGGGGAGGAGAGGTAAAGGGGGAGGGGAGGAAGAGGAACAGGAAGACGAAGACGATGGGGAAGAGGAAGTGGGGCAGAGAGAAATACAGAGGAAGGGAGGGATAGAGAGTGCGAGAGGGAGAGAGAGAGAGAGAGTGAAAGGCGGAAGAGGGACTATGCGGCAGACGGCGAGGGGAAACCAAAAAGAAAGAGAGAGAGAGAGAGAGCAAACATATAAAACATTAAAACAAAACAAATAGCCTGGCGAAGGACCCAACCATATGCAGCTGTGAGTACCGCAATAGTGAACATCTTCTTCGGCGCGGCGCCGCCATGCCAACGCAGCCACTGGGAGCTTCGGTGGAGCTCCCTATGGGGCCACGAAGCGTGTAAGGGGTGTGCCGAAATGGGTGCGGCGCCGCCATGCGAACGCAGCCACTGGGGCCTTCGGTGGAGCTCCCTATGGGGCCACGAAACGTGAAAGGGGTGTGCCAAATTGGGTGCGGCGCCGCCATGCCAACGCAGCCACTGGGGCCTTCGGTGGAGCTCCCTATGGGGCCACGAAACGTGTGAGGGGTGTGCCAAATTGGGTGCGGCGCCGCCATGCGAACGCAGCCACTGGGGCCTTCGGTGGAGCTCCCTATGGGGCCACGAAACGTGTGAGGGGTGTGCCAAATTGGGTGCGGCGCCGCCATGCGAACGCAGCCACTGGGGCCTTCGGTGGAGCTCCCTATGGGGCCACGAAACGTGTGAGGGGTGTGCCGTGCGGCGCCGTGCAGCCAGTGGAGCTCCCTATGGGGGAAACGTGCGGGTGTGTGCGAACGCAGCCATCGGTGGATATGGGTGCCAGAAGCGCATGCGAGCGCAGCCACTGGGGCCTTCGGTGGAGCTCCCTATGGGGCCACGAAACGTGTGAGGGGTGTGCCAGAATGGGGGGTGGAACCGCATGCGAGCGCAGCCACTGGGGCCTTCGGTGGAGCTCCCTATGGGGCCACGAAACGTGTGAGGGGTGTGCCAGAATGGGGGGTGGAACCGCATGCGGGCGCAGCCACTGGGGCCTTCGGTGGAGCTCCCTATGGGGCCACGAAACGTGTGAGGGGTGTGCCAGAATGGGGGGTGGAACCGCATGCGGACGCAGCCACTGGGGCCTTCGGTGGAGCTCCCTATGGGGCCACGAAACGTGTGAGGGGTGTGCCAGAATGGGGGGTGGAACCGCATGCGGGCGCAGCCACTGGGGCCTTCGGTGGAGCTCCCTATGGGGCCACGAAACGTGTGAGGGGTGTGCCAGAATGGGTGTGGGAGGGGGAGGAGGGGGGAGGAGGGAGGGAGGAAGGAGGCGGGAACGCGGGGCACCGTCTCTTCAAAACGAGGACCCAACACCACAGGATGGTTGGGAAAAACAGGGATCGGGACGGGGAGGGGGCGAGAAGAATACCCCCTCCGATCACGCCCCGACCGCGCCACGCGCCGGTTCAGGCACGGCCTGCTCCCCGCCCTGCTGGCGGAGACGCTGCGGAGGGTCGAGGACCCACGGCCCCCGGGGTGGCTCCGCAGTCGGCGGGGGGGGGTACTCTCTCTCTCTCTCTCTCTTTCTCTCCTCGGCATCGCTCGGACGTGTGCATTTTTCCTTCGGCGAGGACCATCGAGGAGCATTCTTGATCATTTGGCGAAAAAACCACGCACGAAACCGCAAAAAGCACAGGGAATGGACGTCCGAGCGATGGGCAGTCTCTCTACAGGAGGGATGCGAGCACCACCTCCGTGCCTGGCCAGGGCCGTCTTGGGCCGCAGGATGGAGCATCCGACTCGGGGCCCTGAGGAAGGACCCCTTTTCGTTGGGGAGGGGCTCGGTGTTCCTTGATTGTTATGCAGTTTGCTTTCTGTTTCCCTGAGGCTTTCCATGGCAAGCCGAAGTTCCACTTATGGGAGAAGGGGCCCCGCGCAGCAGGCTGCCCCTGCCGCCGGCCTTCGCACGCTCAGCAACAGGGAAAAGAAGGAGCTTAAAAAGCAGCGGAAGCTGCTCGACGTGGAGCGCAGCCTTCGCAGGCCTGGCTGGGAGAAGGACCCAGACACGGTGCCGCTGGAGGTGCCCAGCGCGGAGCACCAGCGCGCGGGCCTCGAGTGGATCTGGGAGCAACTCGTAGCCAGGGCCGAGGATCACAGAGCCCGCTTCCCAGAGGAGTGGGACTGAGGGCGCCTTTTCGGGCCAGGCTGCGTTGTAGAGCGGCTTGGCCCCCTTTTCTCCTCTCAGGGTCGCGCTCACAGGTGTTTCTCTCGTGTGTTGCGCGTCCTTGGCTCGGACAGCTATCCCCCTTGATGAGCTGCGGCGGCAGCGCTGTGGTATGCGAGTGGCATAGGCTGCCAGGGGCCCTGCGCGGCTGCGCTGCGCTTTCGGGGTTCCTGCCTGCATGCTTTTCTCTGTGAATTTCAATTCCTTCATGGATGTGTCGACAAAGAAAACGCCCCGACTGTATCCGACAAGGGACGTTTGCCCAACGTGTCGCGCCGGGGGCCCTGGCCGACCAGGCCTCGGCGCGACACGCAGTCCTCGTCCCAGGCTCCTTAAGCGTCCACGCCCCGAGCTGTTCCCGGCTGGCCGCCCCGCGGACTGGAGCGACACCGTGTCAGCTCGCAGGGCATGGCGCGTCGCTGGGGCCGCCGCCGCGACTCGCTGAGCAGCAGTCCCCGACCGAAGTCGCTTCTTCAGGTGCCGGCCAGGTGGACGTTGAACACACCAAGCCGGTGCCCAGGATGGTCCTTGTCCGGCTCGGGCGGGCAGCAACGGGGTGTGACCTGAATGGTGGTGAAGACAAGCGACCCTTGAGAACCGTTTTCTTTGCCCCCCCAGTTCGGTCTGTTCCTGTTTCTTGTCTTCACCCCCCAATGCAGGTCACTTCTTATTGCCACCTGCCCGAGAGGTTGTGGTGTGCGGATGCTTTCCGCGCGGTCTCTGTGCCAACGCCGAGAGTCAGAGCAGGAGAAGGATCAGGAGGGGAAGAAACACACAGACATAATCAATCGTCGACTCCCAGGAAAATACGGGAAGATATGGGAAGGGGGGGAAGACAGAGACCCAGAACATATGGGAAAGTATTTGGAATGTTAAACTGGTGTGTATTTATTTGCGTGTCCTGGGGCCCCTTCAGAGGAGAAGGGCGGGGAGGGACAGCGGCCGGCACGCAGCAGCCTCAGAGCACGCAGACGTAGCAGCACCAGCAGCGGCAGCAGAAGCAGTAACCAGTCATACCTGCTCCTCCTCCTCCTCCTCCTCCACCTCCTCCTCCTGCTCCTCCTCCCCTCCTCCTCCTCCTCCTCCTCCTCCTCCGCCTCCTCCTCCTCCTGCTCCTGCTCCTCTCCTCCTCCTCCTCCTCTCCTCCCTCCTCCTCTCCTCCTCCTCCTCCTCCTCCTCCTCTCCTCCTCCTCCTCCTCCTCCTCCTCCTCCTCCAGTCGTGCATGGCTCAGCGTGGGCGCGCGCGGTCTGCCTGCCAGTGCTGACTCCTTCGCGGCGAGCGAGGGGGGAAGCGAGAAAGGGGAGGCCTTCGCAGAAGGCGGCGCGGCTCCTCGGAAGAAGCCTGTGCTTTGGGGGGGGCTAATTAGACACCTTCCCTCAGAGGGCCAGGGGACTTCCGAGCCTTCAGACAGGGCCTTTTCCTCCTCTCAACTTCTCTCCCTCGCCCGCCGCCAAGGAGCGTGCGCTGGGTCTCTCCACCTGGGCTGTTCGAGCGGATGTGGACTGCGCGACAGCCGTTTTCTGTGCGTGCCCTCTGCCCCGGGCTGCGTGGGCGTGCCGCAGAGCAGCCGGCTCTCTGTCGCGCTGACCGTATCAGTCGCCCTCCCCCCGCCCTCCTGCCGACGCCTACCTCCGACCTCCCCCCCAAACCTTCCATCCTCCTCCTCCACAATTACTCAATATGAAAATACTCTCCCTCTTCCCCTGATGGCGTCCGGGTGATGGCCGCGCACCCTCCGCGTACTGTTTTTTACACACAGGATTCCCGGGAAATCCCGGGAAACGACTCTCGCTGAGGCGCCGGCGTCATTTTTTCCCAAAATGCTGCTCTCGTTGAGGCGCCGGCCTCATTTCTGCTCCCGAATCGTTCCGAATCGTGCTCCCGCTGCAGCGTGGGCCTCATTTTCGGATCGGTGTTTGGCCTCCGTCGTTCAGGATGGCGTTCTCGCCCCAGCGCGGGCCTTTTTCTCGCGCGCCCATCCGCCCGCCACCACCGCGCCGCACCACCCCACCACCACCACCACCACCACCACCCACCACCACCACCACAACCACCACCAGCACCAGCACCACCAAACCACCACCACCAGCACCACCACCACCACCACACCACCACCACCACACCACACACCACCCACCACCACCACCACCCACCACCACCACCACCACCACCACCACCACCACCACCACGACAACCACGCACACACGCACGCACGCACGCACGTGCACCACCACCCACTACGCACGCGCGCGCGGAGCCACAGGTCCGCTACGACACGCGTCCGCGGATAGAGAAAATCAGCGCCATGGTAAGGGATGGGAGGGAGGTGTAGGACGTCAGATATGACGCGAGCGCACCTAGCTTGTCTTCCTCCCCCTCCCCCCCTTCCCCTCCCCCTCCTCCTCCTCCTCCTCCTCCTCCTCATCCTCCTCCTCCTCCTCCTCCTCCTCCTCCTCCTCCTCCTGCTCGCGAAGCAGCAACACCCAGTCTATGGACGGCGGGCGCTGCCACGCCTTGCTCTGTGCCGCTTCGGCCCGCCTCCCTCTCGCTCGCCTTTCTCCTCGCCTCTCGTGCGCCGCCCTCGGTCCCTCGTCGGCTGGTCCTTCGGGCCCCGCTCGGCCCCCGCCGCTGGCGGGGCCCCGCCCGGGTCCGTGCGCTCCTCCCGTCGGGCCTCAGGCGATGCATACAGCTGCGTCCCGTTGCAACAGCGTGCGGCTGTGAGAGCTTCCCCTCGAGAGAGCGGATGTTTGTTCCAACTATCCAGCAGCCGTGAGCCTGAGCAGCAGCTCCTCCGCCTCCCCATCGTACGGTAGGGGGGTACAATCAGTGGACCCCCCCCGCCCCCAGAAACTCAAAGCTGGCACGCGCGGGGAAGACTGCGGTCGAAGCGCACCTCATCCAGCCCGCCGCCGACATGGATCATGGGGGGGCATCGACAGGTGAATGCAGCATGAGCGTTCGCCAATCTCCTCAGAGGCCTGTCTTCAGGCCCCCTCGCCCCGCGGGCAGAGAAGACGCGGCGGACGTCCTGTTTTTTGAGATGCCCGGCCTCTCGGGGCCCGGCCCGCTCACGGGGCCCGGAGGGGGGCCGTTCACAGACCTCCTGGGGGTTCGAAGGGCCCGTCCCCGCACGGGGGGTGTCTGGGCTGCTAGAGGGCTCCCAAGTCGTGAGCCTCGGTGCGAACGAAACGGGCACGAAAAGAGCGGGTACAGCGCCCAACAGCAGTCCCTGTTCATTTTGAACAGGGTTTCTGGGCTGCTAGAGGGCTCCCAAGTCGTGAGCCTCGGTGCGAACGAAATGGGTACGAAAAGTGTGGGTACAGTCGGGGCGCTGCAGAAGGAACCCGTTTCGTTGGGGAGGGGCTCGGTGTTCCTTGATTGTTTCAAAGTGTGCCTCGGGTTTTCCTGAGGTGTTCCATGGGAAATCGAGGTGGAACTTATGGGAAAAAGTTGCCTCGTTCCTTAGTTAGGGTTCCTCAGGTCAACGCCTCGACTGTACAACGCCCAACAGCAGTCCCTGTTCATTTTGAACAGGACTCGCCGTCCGCGCCGCCGCGGCCTGTGTCCATTCGAGATAAACGGCCGCCTGTCCAACAGCGGCCGCTGTTGGTTTAGGACAACATTTTGTGGTGTGCATTGTGCCCATTTTTCTGTACTCATTTCGGGCGTCTGACAGAAAGTCACGACGTCAGGGGTCTGGGTGCATCTCCCTTTCAACTTCTCCCCCATCTCCGGTTTATCTCTCGCTCCCCTACACTATCCCGGGCTGAGCTAGGACAGGGATTCAATCGTTCCAGAGCACGCTGGAACAGCCGCGGCCGCCAGTACATCTTGCAGCGCCGTCAGATCCCAGAGAACCCCGATTTGTGTTTATTCTGAGGCGGCGCTTTGCTCCCGTCGTTCAGAGTGGCGCTCTCGCGCGGGCCACCGTTCTGGATCCGCTACCCCCCTCGTTTCCCCTCCTCAACTTTCCCCTGCTCATCCTGGTCCTCCCTCTTCTCCTGCTGCTGCTCCTCCTCCTCCCTCATCTATGTCATCCTTCTCCTCTTTCTCCTGCTCATCCTTCTGCTCATCCGCCACCCCCCCTTCAAAATACACCTCCCTCTCCCGCTTGCGCAGCGCACGACGGGGCCATGTGGGGCTCCCGGTCCGCTGGGACACCCATCGGGGGATGGAGAAAAGTCAGCCCACTGAGATGGCATGGACGGGCGGGTAGGATGTCAAATACGGCGCGCGAGCCGAGGGCGCAGGAGGACGAGGACGATGAGGAGAAGGAGGAGGAGGAGGAGGAGGACAAGCTTGTTCCCTCCCCCTCTCTCCAGCCCGACGCCTGCGCCAGTTTGTGGCCCGAGGAGGCCCCCCGGGGGGGCCGAACCGAGCTGCCTCCCCAGGGTTCTCCAGGGCCCGCAGGGGGCTCGCTCGTGGTGACGTCTCCCCTCCCGTCGATCGCCGCGCGCGGCCTGGCACCATCGCCCCAGACCCCCGACGTCATGACTCCGTTCGCAACGTCAACCCCCAGAGGTCTCGACCCATCTCCCCCGGGCCAGCTCCTCGTACCCAGTTTCTCTTGTTTCTCCGGACGGTCCAGAGGCTCGGTCATGCAGGACCCCCAGAGCAGGGGGCCACATGCGAACCCTATATATAGGCCTACCCCCCACGACTTCTGAGGGGCAGGGTAGGGGTTCCCTTCGTTCGAGAGCCTCAGAACTCGTGGGGAGTGCGTAGGTAAAACAGGGCTAGGATCGGGATAAATCGCTCCAGAGCGTTCCGGAGCGCTCTCAGAGCGTTCCGGAACGCTCTGGAGGGGCCGCGGCGCCCAATACATCCTCCAAACCCGCCAATTCTCAGAGATTTCGAGTTATCCCGATCCGATTTTGTCCCGATCTTCGCGTCGTTTTAGTAGGGGCAGGGTTCGCCCGTGGCCCCCTGCAGAGGCCGCAGAGCACGAGCAGCTCTTGCCGTCGCGCGCCTGCCTCCCGGCCCGAGGCCGGCCTCGGGTGCGGGGCCCTCCTCCCAACGATTTGGGGGGGGGGCCTCTTTGGCTCACCGGGGGACACACCGACCTGGGAACGGCGATGGATGCGCTCCCGCCGGAGCCTGGGCTTCCCCCCTCTCCCTTTTGACGTTCCCCACGGGAGGTACTTTTACGGGAACGAAGAACGACAGAAGCCTAAAAATCAGGAGGGAAAAAAGCACAGAGACACCATTAATCGTCGACCACCAGGAAAATATGGGAAGTGGGGGGGAAGACAAACATCCAGAAAATATGGGAATCTATGGGGAATCCTGTTATATTTGCGTGTGTGTATTTATTTGTGTGTCCCAGGGCCCCTTTCCAAAACTCGGAAGTCCGCGCGGGGTTCTCGGATCCCCGCTGAGGGTGCTCTGCCTCCTGGCCCGGCGTGCCAGGGCGAGGCGCCCGCGGGCGGTCCGGCGCGAGAGGGCGGCGCGGGGGGTGGCGCGCGCCCGGCCCCCCCCCCGGCGGGCGCGCGCGCAGGCAGGTCGGGCAGCCCGGGGCCAGGGAGCGGCGAAGCGGGCAGGTACTATCGGGCTCGGCAGGGAGGGGTGCGACGGCCAGGGGGGGGGGGATATGATTCAGGAGGGGAGAAACACGCACAGACACCGTGAACCGTCGGCTTCCAGGAAAAAGATAGGAAACATGGGAAGTGCGGGGGGGAGGCAGACACCCTGAAAATATATGGAAAAAGATCGGGGATCCTGTTATTTTTGTGTGTATTTATTTGTGTGTGTCCCTGGGCCCCTGGATAGGAGCGGTGCGATGGCCAGGGCGGGGGGGGATACGATGGCGTGGGCCAGGAGAGGTCTCCCCAGGTTCCAGGGCGCCCCTTCTTACGGTAGGTCTGCGTCGTGTCGACCAGCGGCGACCCCAGCGCGGGCGTTCAAGGTTGAACGCCGCGGGCGACCCAGAATCGGTCGATGTTGAACGATTGGACGTTGCGGGAACGGCCGATCGTTCAAGGTTGAACGATCCCTGCGGTGTCAAAAACCAACGCTGGGGTCGGCACGACACGAACCTGCCGTACTTTGTTGCGTCCTCGCCCCCCCCCCCTCCCGCCCCCTTAATGGGCGCCGCACGTGCCGCCGGCCATGAGCTGCGCCCCCCCCCCCCTCTTGGACGCCCTCCCCCTCTTCTCAGGAGGGACAGAAGCACACAGACACAATGAATCGTCCACTCCCAGGAAGATATGGGAAACTATGGGAAGTGGGGGGGGGGACGAAACCCCAGAAAATATGGGAAAACATGGGGAGTTCTTTTATTTGTGTGTATTTCTTTGTGTGTCCCAGGGCCCCTTCATCTTGGCCGACCCCGAGCAGAGCAAGAGAGCGGAAAAGACGGAGCGGGTGGCCGCGGGGCTCCTCGGGGCTCAAGCGACGGCCGCCTCCTGTCGGCGTCGAGCGAGGGGGGGGGGAAGTGAGGAGGAGAAGGCCTTCTCAGACGGCGGCGGGACTTCTCAGAAGCCCTCGCGCCTTCTGAGAAGGTGTGTTTCTGTCTTCGGGGAAGGCTCAGAAAACTTCTCAGAAGGCTGGGGGACTTCCGAACCTTCTGAGAAGGCCTTCTCCTTCTCACTTGCCCCTCCTCGCTTGCCGCCGATCTTGAGCCCAGAGGAGTCCCGCGGCCCAGTTTGCACTGACCTCTGTCGACGGGGACCGATGCAAACGGGAGTCAGCCAGAGCGCCAGATCTTGCAGGATCCGGCAGAACCAGGGCTGCACTGATCCTTCAAGGCCAGACTGACCAAGGCTTGGATTGACCCGAGTTAGCAGATCCCCGAATTCCAAGGCGTCCTGCGCGGAGCTCCAAGAAATTGTGCTTATGCCTTTTTGCTGTCTTTTGAGGTGTGTAAAGTGTTGCGTTCGGGGGCCCAGGCCTTACGCCGAGCGAGCGAGCGACTCGAAGCCCTCGGTCTCGGGTGCTAACTGCGAGCGGAGCGCTGGCCCAGAAAAGACGGGGAGAGGAGGTGCAGTCAATTCCGCGGGCGAACACGCAGGCGACCCCGTTATTTTGCGTCGCTCACGTGGACCTCTGCAGGTCTGGTCACCAATACACAAGGGGAGCTGGCGAATCAGCGCACACAGTCAGCTTGCTTCTCCGGGCGCCTCCCTGCGCTCAGGACGCGCTAATTCATCGAGGAGAGCGGCCAGGCAGGGCCGAAACCAGCTGCATGCATGCAGCCCAATCCGAACCCAATTTCGGGAAAACATAAGACTCGGGTTCAGGGGACTCCGATTGGCCTGACGGGGCCGCCAGGAAAATTGACGAGACCCAATATGGAATTTGACGCGAGCTGACGCTGCAGACATCACACGAAAGCTGGACCGTCAAATCCATGACGGGCTCGTCAAAAAGCGTCGGCAAATCCGAGTTCCTGCGAACTCGAGTCTTACGTTTTCCCGACCCTTCCCTGGGACTGGCTTCTCATCCCGAGAAACGCTTTTTGACCGCGGGGGCCCGGAGAACGCCCCTTCATGGGGAAACCAAAAGGTGCCGATACCGCTACTCCCCAGACTTCTCCTGTGGTGCGTTCTGACCCGGAATTCGAGGCGAATCCAGCGGATGCGATGAGGACCTCCCAGGAGGCCCCAGACAGGGAAGACGAGAGAAGTGTAGAGGCATGGGTACCTTTTCCTCCTCTGACTTCCAGCCCCAGATGGCGAAAACAGACTAGAGCTGCCCGTGATCTTGCTTCGGGCATGGGCCGACAAGGATTCAGGGTCCGTGGATCTGACGCGTGAGCGCGAGAGCCACGGATCGGGGACTGGGCACCGCCTGATCTGGCGACTATACAGTGGAGGCCCGTCCACAAGAAACTTCCCGCAAGAAGCCCAACCCTGAGACCCCAGGACGTCCAGTGATTTTTGGGTGGGAACGTCGAGCTCTCCACAGCAAAACCGTCGAAGCCCAAGAAACCAGGGGCACCCTGGAGGCGAGCAGGATGTTTACTGGCATGGGCCTCCACTGTATAGCGTCGATGTTGGAAGCGGGGCTCGTCAATCATCCTCTCGCCTTAGTCCATGTTTTCCAGCACGGGGCTACCGAACGGCACGGCCCTTTCCCGGCGCGCCCTCGTCTCCGAGGTAGCGCGCCGCGCCAGTCGCCGCGCGTAAGCCACCGCGCAACGTCGCTACGCCATCTCGCGTCATACATGTCCTCTTTTCCTCGCTCACGTGGCGAAGCAGAACACGACAGCTCTCTCTGGCCACCCGTGCCCCATGGAGCACCGGAGCCGCCGTGCAGTCCCAGCTCTGCGGGCAGCGCGAGCCCGCGGGGGCGGCTCGGCGGCTCCGCGCACGCCGCACGGTCCGGCGGCCCCGGGCCCCCGAGGGCGTCGCTCGGCGGCCCTCTGCCGAGCGTCTTTGGGGGCTCCGAGGGCCTCCAGGCGCTCGAGGCAGCTAGGAGGAGGGGCCGAGTCCTGGCAGCGGTGGGGTCACGGCACCGAGGATGACGAGGACGACGACGACGATGGCGATGGCGAGGCCCGTGGGATGCCGAGCGCCCTCTGCTCTCGGAGGGTTTGGGCCGAGCCCTGGGCACGGCCATTGGGCACCGCACCGCCCACCGGGGACGCTCGGGCGGTGCCCTCTCCGCTGGAAGGGCGCGGCGCCGAGCCCACCCGGCGGGCGCCGCACCGGAGGGCCTCGGGCGCCGCACGGGCCCAGGAGAGACAGCAGCAGTCGCCTCGGGTCGCGGGCCGCGCGCGGGCACGGGCCATGTACCGCAATGCCGACGACATCTTCCATCTCAGCACGGAGACGCGGCAGGATCGAGCGGGGGGGGGGAGGCGGATGAGGAGGGAAGAGGAGGAGGAGGAGGAGGAGGAGGAGGAGGGAAGAGGAGGAGGAGGAAAATGAGGAGGAGGAGGAGGAGGAGGAAAATGAGGAGGAAAATGAGGAGGTGGGAAGAGGAGGGAAGAGGAGGAGGAGGAAGAGGACGAGGAGGAGGAGGAGGAGGAGGAGGAGGAGGAGGAGGAGGGTGAGGAGGAGGGTGCCGAGGTGGGTGAGCAGGAGGTGGAGAAGCAGTAATGTGAGGAACACCTAGGGTAAATGGAGGAGGAACAGGGGGAGCAGCGGGATGGGGGCGAAGAGGAGGGGGATGACTAATAGCAGCAGGAGGAGGAGGAGGAAGAGGTATGGTGAGACTTCATGAACAGGGGGCGCGAGATGCTGGTCTTACTTTGTTTGTGTGCTCCTGCGGGCCGAGAGCGATTCGAAGAGACCCAGTCGCGTTCTGGACGAATGAGAGGGGGATGTATGATGATAGATATGGGAATAGTGCAGTTGTTGCTCTTGAGCCTTCTTAAAAACACGCCCTGTCTGTTTTCCGTTTTGTGTGTTGGGATCTGGACAAGCTAAGAACGTTAGAACCGCGCGACGGTTTTTTAGCGTTGTTAGCGCCGTCGTTTAGCGTTTGTAGGCCCGTCGCTGTGGCTTATTTTTGTTTCAGGTTTTTGTTGCTTGCTGGTCGAAGGATGTTCCTCGTCTCCCCTCCTGCCTTCACTCCATGTTTTCGTGTCTGCCGCCGCTCTCCCTCGCAGAGGTAAACACGAAACAACTTATTAAACAAGTTCCAACACGAAACAACAAGTTCTTAAACAAGTTCGCGAGTAGTCCATACTAGTCTCAGGAGCGAAAAAAGGACGTACACGTACATGAATCCACGTTGGTTTCGAGAGTTCGCACGGCGCGAATGTTCGTACCACGCGGCCCAGGGCCTGATGGCTCCAAGAGGGGCATTCGGCCATCGGGCCCGGAGGCCCGACGCCCCGGGAGGGGCCTCGCGAGGACGGCGAGCAGTCGGACTCGGAGAGCTGGAGGGTTGAGGACCTCACGCCCGGATGAGGCACTGAGGACGTCGTGGACGGCAATGCTAAACAACGCAACCAGCTGGCAACAAACAGATTTGGTTTTGGCGTTTTCAGTTTTCTTGTTGGGACCTAGAAGCGCTGACAACAATGAGTTCCAACATGCCGAGTTAAAACAGCGATGTAAAAACGCCATGAGCATATTCAGGAAGAACCGAGCTCTTGCTCATCATGCTTCCCCTCGGATCTTCAAACCAAACCTCTTCTAGAACACCCTACCCCCTTTGAAGGAATGAATCAGTTCAAACCCGCCCCACTAAAACAGAGTCATCAGTGCTCCTCCTGCTTCTTTCATCCTCCCCCAGCCTTCGTATCCCTGGTCCTGCTCCCCCTCCCTCCCTCATCTTTCCGTCATTGTCTTCCTCATGCATCCTCATCCTCCTGCTCCTGCTCGTCGAGCAGGCCCCCGCAAGGACCGGCACAGCAGGCAGCCCATCTGCGCTCCTCCAGCCCCGTGGAGATTGTTTTGTTGTCCTCGGGCGCGTGAGGCGCAGCGGTCGTTACCCTGGAGTGGAGGTGCACGCAGATCCAGCCGAGGCCTCGCGGCGCCCTTGAGGTCTGCGCAGTGCACAACCGTCGCCTTTTGTGCGGGTTCCCGGGAGGCCAAGCGGAGTGGAGTTGTACGCAGATCTAGCCGAGACCTCGCGGCTCCTGGGGGGCTGCGAAGTGCGACATTGTCGCCACTATTGTGGGCTCCTGGGAGGCCCAACGGAGTAAGGTAGTACACGGATCCAGCCGAGACCTCGCGGCTTGGTCAAGTTCCCAGCGGGCACTCCACACTCTGTCTCGTTCTCTCGCACCCGCCCCCCCACTACAGAATCAGCACCCGAGTCACAGCGTCGGCAGAGGCCATCGACAACCGTCGGGAACCAATGCAGACGCCAGCCACGTGCGTGACGCCTGCGAGGTGCGCCGCACATGCCAGGCCACGCGCACCAGGGGCGTCACATTGGGCAAGATGTCCACCCCCTACTCTCCCTGCCAGAAACCAATGCAATGCGACGGCGGGTTTGCCAGCATCGAGCACTGTGTGTGGGCACGCATAATCACGTTGCACTTGTTTTTGACACGGCTTGTGGGCTTGCGCGCAGAAGGCAAGATGCCGGCCCCTCCACCGTCCCTGTCAAAAACCGCGTTGCAAAGTGATCGCGGGGCGTTCGCGCATGCTCCAGATTTTTTGCCGTATGGCGCGCTGCGTACTGTTTTGTTTGACAGGGATGGTGGTGGTGTGGAGGAGTTGCGCACAGCAGGCCATATCCCGCCCCCCCCCCCCCCGCCGCCGCTTTCATGAACCAATGCAAAGTGATCGCGTGGCGCCCGCGCATGGTCCTGATTTTTCTGAACGGTGCACTTCGCACGGTGTTTTGCCAGGGACGGGGGGGGGATGGCAGCGCACACAGCAGGCAGCATGTCGGTCCCCCCACGGTCCCTGTCAATAACCAGTGCAAGGTGATCGCTGGGCGTCCGCGCATGATCAAGATTTTGGTGCAGTATGCGCTTTGCATTGTTTCTGTTGCAAGGGATGGCGGGGGGGTGTTGGCAGTGTCTCGGGTTTGTCGCCGGCTGGGTGGAGGGGGGGGGGTGTTTGATTAATCAGGGACAGTGATCAAGCTTCCGCCCCCGAAGGACGGCCGTCTCGCTCACTCCCACACGCCCTCCCACCACAGCAGCAGCACTCGGGTCTCAGCACGGGCGGGGGCCGCCATCGACCATGGTCGGGAACCAATGCAGGCGCCAGCCAGGTCAGCGTGCCAGGGCTCCCCCATCACCCCTTGCAGTTCACAATGTAAAGTAATCGCGCGGCTCCCACGCGTGACCGTTGCCAGAACATAAATCTAGCAATGTCTTGTGACAGGGATCATGCATTTCAAATTGTTTTGCTCGCAAGGATGGTTGGGGGTGTTGGCATTGCACACAGCCGGCCATATGCGCCCCCCCCGCCGCCCTTGTCACGAACCATGCAATGTGATCGCGGGGTGTCCGCGCACGATCCAGATTTTGGTGCAAAGCACATTGTGTATTGTATCTACAAGGTGGGCAGGTGTTCGCAGCGTATACGGCAGGCAATCTGCCGGCACCCCCGCCGTCCCAGTCAAAAGCCACTGCAGAGTGATTGCGGGGCGCCCGCGCATGATCCAGATTTGGAGGCAAAGCGTCTGTTGTACCGTGCTTGAACGGGTGCGGTGGGGGAGGCGGGCTCCTGAGCCCGTTTTTTGGCTGCCTCTCGCACGGACGAGGGGGTGCTCGTTCCTGGGGGGGCAGTGACAAAAGCCCCTCCCCGAAGGGGAAGAGGGAATACTCAGCCTTCTAAGCAGAAGCCCTCCCCCCCCCCCACCCCCCTCTGCGCGCAGCCAAAGCATGGAAGAGGAAATCCGGTACGCCACGCACGCCCACGAGGGCCACTGCGATGCCCCGAGGGCGGCGGCGCGAGGGCCCTTGCGCGCGAAGACGAGCGCGGATCGCACACCGCGGGCGGGGCGAGAGGCGAGGCGGCGTGCGGCGGGCTCGCGCCGTACGTCGACCCGGCCCCGCCGCCGGCCTTCAGCGGAGGGCGGCGACCCGGAGCGGGTGGATGCTGCAGGGTCGAGCGTCTCGGGCGCGGCCGATCGGTCAGGATGGAAGGAACCCCGCGGTGTCAGGAGCCAGCGCCGAGGTCGACACGGCGCGAACCTGCCGTCGAGAATGAGGAGGAGGAACGTGAGGAGGAGGAGGAGGAGGAGGAGGAGGAGGAGGAGGACTCCCTCGAGGCCACATCGCCGAGAATCATGGCAGGCTGGCACCCGCACTGCACAGAGGAGACTGCGCGCGCCGCACGGTCTTCTCGTTGCGTTGTCCCGTTCCTCTGTGCTGTGTGCCCCTGCCGCCCCTCCTCCGCTGGAGGCTGCAAGGCCAGCTCGTGGCCTCGAGGGCTTGGTCTAGACGCCTGGGATGCTCGCGGCTCGAGCCCGCAGCCGGGCACGTGCGGCTGCCCAGCGCACCGCCTCAGCCCCTGCAGCCGACGGTGGCCTCCCCGGCCCTGCCCACCTGGCACTCGGAGAAAGAGCCCGCCAGGAGCTGGAGAGGGTGGACCACGAGCTGCACGAGCAGCAGGCCCTTCCGAAGGCGGGGCCCCTCGCCGGCGAGCTGTCCGCCGCGCTCGGGGGCATGCGGGGCAGGCTGCTGAAGGCCGCGAAGTCTTACAAAGCGCAGACGGACTGCGGAGGGGACTGACGGTGTGCACCACGTCCCCCAAGATCCTAGCGTCGTGATTCCCAACCCTCCTGTGTGTGTTGGGCCCTCGTTTTGAATTCGCAGCGCAGCGCGTCGCACTCCTCCCTCCCCCTTCCTCTCCTCTTCATCCTCATCCGTCTCGTCATCATCATCATCATCATCATCATCACCATCATCATCATCATCATCATCAGCATCATCGTCAGCATGCTCATCGTCATCATGATCATGATCATCATAATCATCAGCATCATCATCAGCACCGTCTTCATCATCATCATCATCATCATCATCATCATCATCATCGTCGTCATCATCATCATCATCATCATCACTTTCATCATCATCAGCAGCATTGTCAACATAATCAACATCATCATCAACAACACCAGCATCAACATCGTCATTATTATCATCATCAAACTCATCATCAAACTCATCATCAGCAGCATCGTCATCACCATCACCATCATCAGCAGCATCATCATCATTACCATCAGCATCATCATCACCATCATCAGTATCATCATCATCAGCAGCAGCATCATCATCATTGTCGTCATCGTCATCCTCCTCCTCGCCATCATCCTCATTGTCATCGTCATTGCCATGGCCACTGTCATTGCCAGCATCACTATCATGGTACGCAGTATTGTCACCATCACCAGCAATACCATGACCATCATCCACACCATAATCACCCTCATCATCATCATCAAGCTCATCAAACTCAGCATCAGCATCATCAGCATCATCATCATTATCGTCACTATTATCATCACCGTCACCATCATCCTCATCATCACCATCACCACCGCCATCATTATCGTCACCATCAGCATCATCAACAGCACCATACTCAGCAGCAACATCGTCATCACTCTCATCATCGTTGCGCCGTTGCCCTTAAACGCTTCGGTGCCCTATACCGAGATCCAACGACGGCGTTTGTGGTTCCGTCCGCATGCTGCTTCGGGTCCCCTTCGGCACACCCCTCACACGTTGCATTGCCCCATATAGAGAGCTCCATTCGTGGCTCCAGTGGCTCCCTCCGCATGCCGTCTCTGATCCATTTCGGCACTCCGCTCACGCGCCTTGTGGCCCCATAAGGTGGTTCACTAGTGGCCCCAGTGGCTCCGTTCGCATGCCGTCTCGGGTCCACTCATACGCTTCACTGCTCCAGGGGAAGCTCCACCGACGGGTTATATCGGCACGCCCCTCACACGTTCCGCTTCTCCACGGGGAATTCTACCGAAGGCTCCAATGGCTCAGTCCGTATGCTGTCTCGGGTCCACTTCGGCGCACCCGTCACACGCTCCGCTGCCCCGTAGGGGTCTCCACCGAAGGCTACAGCGGCGCCTTCCGCATGCGGTCTCGGTCCGCTTCGGCACTCCCCTCAGATGTTTTGCTGCCCCACAGGGAGCTCCACCGACGGCTCCAGTGGCTCCGTCCGCATGCCGTGTCAGGCTCATGTCTGTACGTCCTTCACGCGCGTTGCTTGGCCCCATAGCGAGCTCCACGAGTGGCCCCAGAGGCTAGGTCCGCATGCCGTCTCGGGTCCACTTCGGCACACCGCTCACACGCTTCGTGGCCCCATAGGCGGCTCCATCGAAGGCCCCAGCGGTTGCGTCCGCATGCCGTCTCGGGTCTATTTCGGCACGCCTCTCACACGTTTCGTGGCCCCTTGGGGAGCTCCACCGACGGCCTCAGTTGCCAGGTCCGCATGCCGTCTCGGGTCCACTTCGGCACGCGCCTCACGCGCCTCCTGGCTCCAGAAGCTGGTCCACCGACGGCCTCAGTGGCTAGATCCACATGCCGTCTCGGGTCCATTTCGGCAGGCCCCATTGTACCTCCAGATGTCTTGAGCATTCGTTGACGCAGTTGTCCTTCGGACATGCTGCGTTCAGGCTCCCCGTCCTGACCCGCAGCGTAGGGGCGGGGTCGCGAGCTGTCGCTGATGTTTCTGGCCGAAGATCCCGATCAAACTTTCCTTCTCCCCGTGCTGTCGGCCCCCGTCCTCCTGCCGCGTGGCGCACTCGTCGTTGAGCTCTCGCGTCCGAGTCGAGTTGTGAGCGCGGGTGCGTCAATGAGGCGGCTTTGCGCGTAGTTGTTCGTTTCTTGGTGAAGCGTTCAAATGTACTGTAGATCCCTTAGCATGTTCATGAGCACTTAGCGTTCTTGCTAGTATCCGCCACGGTTTCGCAATGGGTTGGGTTCCTCGACGGCGCGATTTTCTCGAGTCGGGCGTTTTCGCTCTGTTTCGGGCCCCAGGGCCCTGACAGATCGATCCGGCTCGAAGAATTTACCAGAGATGGGGGCCAGGGCTCCGGTCGTGATGGCTCACGATGTTTCTCTTTTTCCGCGTTCTAGGATGTCAGGGTCGTGCGGCCAGCCGATAGGGCCAAAGAGTTCGGCGAAGGAATGCGCTTCGCGGGCGCTCCTGCGCCCCACGGGTCTGGAAGTAGGGTTGCTTGTGCAGCGAGCTCCTTTGCCGACCATACGACCTGATATGCACTTCGAGCCCCTCCCAGGACTGGAGTACCTTTGCGCCCTCCGAGCCGGTCGTGGCGGTGAAGCATTTCTACGACGTCTCCGAGGAGGGGTTTCCTGGGTCAGCTGCTGCATCGTGGGGTCCCCTGCCCATCAGATCAGCCGGGAAGCTCACGCTTCTCGTGACGAGCTGCCTCTGGATGACTGGAGGGAGAGCTGCGTCAGTCCTGTCGTGCAAGGGACGTTTCGCGCTCCTGTCGGAGCGCTTCTAAGCCAAAATGTCTGCGACGCCATTCTTGCAACGGGATGGCGGCAATGAGCACACTGAAGGCACAGTTGGTTGAAGACAAAACAAACGACTTTCAGTGAAACAACGCTTGCACAAATGTTTGCCCTCAGTGAGTTCATTGCCGCCATCCCGTTGCATGCACTTGTTTGCCTTCATTGAGCTTTCTGCGCCCCCCCAGAAAGAAGTCTCCGAGGACAGCTGGGTGGAAGAGACTGTGATGGTGGAGATCGACAGCAAGCCGTTCGGGCATGGGGCACTACGAGAGTGCTTCCGCATGCGCGAGGTGCCGATGAGAGTGGACGGGCACTTCTCCCGCCAGCGACAAGCAGAAATGCAGCGCCCCTTCAGATCTGGGCGACGCAAGAAATAGCTGCGTCAAGTTGTCCATGTGTTTGGCTCCTGTACGCCCCTTCCTGGACCCAGGACCGCCAACGAACAACCCGGGAGGAAAGGACGGTCCAGTGGGGAAGGGGACGAGATCTTTCAGGGCCCGCACAACGAAAACACATGGGATTTTCGAGGGGAGGGTCTACGCAACAGGAAAGCGTGTGTGTGTGTGTATATGTGTGTGTGTGTGCGCGGGGGGTGGGGGGGGGCGGGGGGAGGGGGGGGGGGGGACGAGTCCATGTCTCGAGCCATGCATGCTGCGTGCCAGATCTGGCTGTTTTCGCGTGCGGCTGCTGAGCTTCTGCTTGTCAGCGAGATTTCCGAGGATACCCCGAAAATGAGCCGCCAGCATTCTCCAGGAGACGAGGACGAGGTTGGGACGCCGAAGAGCGCCAATATCCAAGATACGGTCGCAGCGATGATGCAGATATCGAACAAGACGAAGAGGTTCCAAGCAGAAGCTGCACGAACACCACCTCTCGGCGGTCCGCGCGGCTCTCTGGGATCGGCGCTGAGCCCCCCGGGCCGCGCCCCTCCAGCGCTGCCCCCCTGGCGCGCTCCGCGCGCCAGGGAGGGGGGGCCTAGAGCACCGATCCGAGAAGCCCACCTGGGCCTCGGAAGGGTCGGGGGTTTGCGGCTGCTTCTTCTTCTGGAGGCGCTGCTGGGTGGCCAAGAGGTCGACGACTGGGCACGGCGACCTCGAGAAGCACAAGCAGGACTGCCTGGCCGACGCCGCGCTGCAGCAGGTGGCCAAGCACCACGCCGAGGCGTTCAACAGCGCCCGGAGGTCCATCGGACACGTGCCGGCACACATCGGGATGCACGAGGTGCACGGGATATACACAGGGCTTCGGGCTGCGCGCCCCCCCAGTTACAGTGGAAGCCCGTGCCAAGGAACAACCTGCTGGCCTCCACGGTGCCCTGGGTTTCTTGGGTTTCGATGGTTCTACGACAGAAAAACGTTGCTGAAGTCCCGGCAGGCCTCAGCAGCCCCCCCCCGTCGGGGCCCACGTAACGAGGGTCAGCGCTAACGGGGGTCCGCCAGTCCCAGCCAGAGGATTAACCTCTACCGCTGCCCTCGCCTCGTCTCACCCTTTCTGGGCCTCCTGGGAGGCCCTCGTCGCCACCGTTGGATTCGCCTCAGAGAGCACCCGGGGAGAGGTCCGGGGAGTACCGACATCGGTACTTTTTGTTATGGAGCTTGTTTTTCTTCAGACTCAGGCAAGTTTACTAGCAGGGCGTTCGCCCCCCCCCCCCCCCCCTTCGTCCTGCCTCGGTCGAATAGGAGCGTGCAAGGGCCTTTCGACTTGCGCGACTTCCGCACGTCAAGTCGGTTGCGATGTGCTTCAGCTTCAGCCCCCCCCCCCGTCCATGCAAGTAAATTTGCCAGACTCTACAGTCGGGGCGCTGAAGAAGGAACCCTTTGCGTTGGGGAGGGGCTCCGTGTTCCTTATTGTTTCACAGTTTGCCTTCTGTTTTGCCCAGGTTTTCGATGGGAAATCGAAGTTTAATTGAAAACAAGAGGCCTCGTTCCTTATTTAGGGTTCCGTAGGTCAACGCCCCGACTGTAGCAAATTTGCTAGAGTGAACACGGTTCCCCACCCATCTGGCTGACTCGGGGTTGGGAGGCACGTGGGGCCGTTTCCCCCCTTTGTCTGCCCTCCGCGGGCCCTGGTTTTGGGAGCTAAGTCGTGAGCTGCCCGCCAGGCTTCGCGACATGGCCCTAGGAATATTCGAAAATAGCTGGGAAGTAGTATGAGGACGATTTTTCTCCTTATTTGGAATGTGTTGTGACTATGTCAAATTTTCTTCCAGAATCTGCCTGTAGGAGGACATGTCCGACCTAAGGTTAATGCGTCCCCGACCCCGGGTAGTCTGGAGCGGTCTCAAGACCCTCACATTGCGGCACGGAGCGCCCCATGAGTTCGCCCACGAGGTATCAAAGTCTGCGCCAGGGTTCCAGGCCACCCACATGAGGTAGAAGTAAATGGGGTCGGAGGATCGCGCCGCATCGGTGGTACACCGGCGATGTGGCTTGATGTGAGGCTCGATCTTCTCCACGCCGACGGCGCGACCTCCCGACCCCATCTCCTCGGACGCCGTGTGGGAGGCCTCCGGGGTTTTGGAGCCCGCCCCAGGCAAAGGGAGGGGGCAGATATGAGGTTAGTGGGGGCTACCTTGGGGACCTAGCTGCTTGCGCGCGCCCCGAAGCCTCGTCGAGGTGGACTTTCTCATGTCGCACGTCATCGAGCTGCCCGACGGCAGCACGTACGGCGTCGAGGCCTTCGTCTTCGGCCACTACGAGAAGTACAACAACAACTCGGGCGGCGTCATGCGGCCACTCGATTGGGTGACGCCGCAGGCGTTCAGCTACTTCACCTTCGTGCACTCGGGGTACCGGCAGATGGTCGTGGACATCCAGGGAGTGGACGACATCTTCACCGATCCAGTCCTGCACTATCTCCCCGAGCACAACAGGACCCTCGCGGCTTTGGGAGACCAGAGCGTGAACTTGGGCGTGCGGGGGTGCCCAGGGGAATTACCAAAATAGACAGGCACCCCAAAAACGAAATGCTTCGAGCATGGTCAATATTGTGACCTGGTTAACTTAAGGATGTGAAAAGCACTGAACACACGTACTAATGATTTTAATCAAATGGTCTGATGCGTGTTGTCATTCGCACTGTGCTTTCAAACAACTATTCCTCCGAACGCAGTATCGTTTTATGACAGTCATGTTTCGTTGTCCGGCCAGTGTTATGTTTCGTTAGTGCGTCAACGTGTTTTTCGTCTTGGATTGTGGAACCGTTTCCCTTTTCGGTGTCGCGGTGTCCGAAGTTTGTGCCCACCGCTTGTTCTTGTTCGTCACGGGCCGCTTCCATTCTCCGTATAGTGCACGCTGCCGGGCACATGGGGCGACATCCACAGGTCTTTGAGAATGCATTTGCGGGCGCGCTCTCCCGTAAGTCGACTACAGAAACAACGGCACCAACATAAGCATAAACATCAACATACATGTTCGGCATCAACATAAAGAAACAACGGCAGCAACTTTCGACATAACGAATCATTTAAAGAAACAACGGCATCAACACAAACTGTCGGCGCTGCGCGCGCATTTCTTGGATCGGCACCTGGGCCTCCCCCAGCGGAGTCTCCGGCGCCACCCCTGGCGCGCGGCGCGCCAGGGAGGGGAGTCCAGCGCAGAGCCAAGAAACCCGCGCGGAGCGCCAACAAAATTCTGTGTATGGCGCTCTCTCTTCTTCTTCTGCGAAGGTTCGCGCTCTTCCTGTGGAGCCACCGCCGCAACCCGATCGACAAGCTCCTGGGCCTGGCCACCTTCCCGCACGCCGTGTCCGAGCAGCGGGCGGTGGGCGGCGTCGCTGGGCTCACCGTGGCGCACCTGGCGACCGTGGAGAGGCCGCCGCCTGCAGCGGGCCTGCAGCGGGCAGCCTCGGCGCAGCCGTCGGCGTCGCCGACGCACCACAGCGTACCCCTCGCGGACGTTCCAGGCGTGAATTTGCAGGTTCTGGAAGCCCCAAAGCCTCGGGTCGAAGAAGACAAAACGGCATGAACCCAAACCTTTGGCGCCGCGCGGATTTCTTGGATCGGCGCCTGGGCCCCCCCTGGCGGCGCTTCCGGCGCCGCCGGCCCCTAGCGCGCTCCACGCGCCGGGGAGGGGGGTGCAGCGCAGATCCAAGAAATCCGCGCAGAGCGCGATTTCTTGAGCATCGCCGAGCGATGCTTGAATGGAACTGGGCCCCCGGACAGGGCCACCCACTCGCGCACAGATGCGCAAGGGGGGGTCTTCTTCACGGTGGAAGCCCATGCCAAGAAACACCCGGTTTGCCTCCAGGGGGCCTTGGGTTTCGTAGGTTTCGTCGGTTTGCAATTGAAAGCGTAACGTTCCCACACCAGAAAGCAATGGACGTCCCGGGGTCTCAGAGTTGGGTTTCTTGTGGAAGGTTTCTTGTGGTCGAGCTCCTACTGTATGTTGCAGCCTGGGCTTCCAAAGGTTAGTAGCTGGAGCGGCGTAAGGGCGCGCGGGGTCGGCGCGGCCGAGGGCCATGCCCTGCCGTTGGACCTTGTCCTGGCCGCGTGCCACATGGAGCTGGCGCTCATGTACAACGAGGCCCCGTTGCAGAAAGCTCAACCCTAACCCCCCCCGCGCACACGCGCTCTGTCTGCAGCTGCCTCTAGTCTCGCAAGGTGGGCACACGGCAATGGGTTGCGGAGAGAGTTTGTTTGGAAAGCCATCGGGAATATTCTGTTTTCATTGATCAAATGGCCTTCGCCATGTCGCCGACCCTCTGAGGAAAAACCAAGTCCACGGGTGAGGCATTGTGCCTCTCAGGATCCGTTTGAAGGTCCTAACTTCGGGCATGTTTGGGGCCTCTCATGCTTAAGTGGGGCCTCTTGGGCGTCTGTTGGGCGCCTGCTGGGTGGGGCGGGGGGCTCGACATGTCAGTTTGAGCTTCCCCTCTTGGGACTCCGTTGGGGCCCTCCTGGGCCGTCTTGGGCGCGTATTGGGGCCGTCTTGGGACTCTCTTGGGCCGTGTTGGGGCTCTCTCAGGGGCCTGTTGGGCCGTCCTCGAACGATCTTTGGGGCCTCTTGGGCTGCTTTGGATCTTGTTGAAACTAGAAGGATGAACATGATAGAAATGTCAGTCTTCCTCCAGAGTTAGAGCGACTTTGGCCTCTTGGGGCCCTGTCGGGGGTCGGCTTGGAACTTTCTGGGGGCGTCTTGGAAGCTTCTTGGGCAGGCCTGAGGTCCTTGCCACTTTCATGATATGTCCAGTTTACATATTGTCCAGCTCCTGGGCGGTTTTGCCCAAGCGGCCTTCCGATAGTTTCTCAGAGCGCCGGAAAAACACGGGACCGTGTAAGGTGTTTTTGAATCAGTTGTTTGGGTTTCCAGAGTGGATTGACGAACGAACATTAACATCCCGAAGTAGGCCACAAGGCGGGAATTATCCATCATCGCTTGATGCACGGAATTTCAGGGACATCGGCCAGTGGTTGACATGGATATTTCCAGACCTTTGGGGAGGGCAAAACATGTACACATCCACCGCTTGCCGACGTTCCCGAGGATCGACCCCCCAGGCAGTGGTCATGGACAATATCCGATTTGCTCAAGCATAGTTCTGAAATTCTAGGTCTCCTGGATTGGGTCGCAGTAGAAGGGGTCGGAGGATCGTGCCGCATCGCCGATGCATCAGCGATGCATCGCCGATGTGGCTCGATGTGGGGCCCACTTTTCTCCACGCCGATGTTGCCAAAGCATCGCCGACGTCGCCACTTCATCGCCGATGCATCGGCGATGCATCGGCGATGCATCGCCGATGTATCGGCGATGTGGCGAGATCCTCCGACCCCATCTACTCGGACCCCATCTAGGAGGCCTCTATAATTGCGTATCGCCTCTCGGGAAGATGGGTGGGGCGCGTGTTGGGGCCCGTAGGGGACATGTTTGGGGCTCGGTGGGGGGCCGCGGCCGTGTGGCCGTCTCATGTTGTTTTACGATTCTTTCCGCGGGAGTCTTGCCGCAGTGACGGGACAGCTTTGGGCTTCGTTGGCGCCGCTTGGGTTCGTACGGGGCCGTTTCTCGTGGCCGCCTTGGATCACGAGCGGCGAACATGTCCATATCCACGCCCTCGCATTGTGAGCCCCAGGCCGCGATCCCATGGCTACGCGATCGCACGGACACGCTCTGCGCGGGGCATCCGTGCAAAGCCGCCCCGTATCCATGGGGTGGCGGCCCACGATCCTTGCACGCCAGGCAGTGGATAAGGATACGTTTCCCGACCGCGGTTGGGACCCCACCCGCAATGTTCCCTTCCATGATCGTTCCGTTGTTGGCTGGGCGTCGCAAAGGTAAACGCCCCCCCGAACCCCATCCACGATTTCCGGTCGGATTGGGCAGTCTCGGCACAGGGTGGCATGCTTCGGTTTGAGGCAACTTCGAGACGGCATGTGGAAGTCAAGGGATCTGCCATCAGGGCTGCAGTCCCGTCGTGCGTTTGAGTTTGTTCTGCTTTCCAGTTCGCCATTCGCCCGTCGGGCCAGCGAAGCCAGCTCCGCGCAAGGGCCGCATCGGCGAAGGGAACGATAAGCAGTCCGAAAACGAAGCCGCCGTGTTCCACCTGGTTCTGGCGGCGAGGGAGGGCCTGATGGAGGCTATGCTGGGGCTGGCAAGGCCTGGGCGGGGACGCGATGCCGCTTGCTATCCTTCATCTCACGCCTGTCCAGACTCATCGTCAGCCCGCCGTCGCGGCCTGGACATATCCATGTCCACACCCTTGCGGCCCGGTTGCTTCAGCCACGACCCCATTGATAAGGTGCGACTTTTGGTGGATGCCCTGGGCGGCACGCGTCCATGAGATTCCGCATCCTTGGGAGCATTCCTCGGAATTCAGACCGCGAGGGCATGGATATGGCTATGTCGTCGCTCGTGATCTCCTGCCCCTCCCAGGGCAGGGCGCATGTAGGCCTTGGCGGTTTGAGTATGTCGTTTTAGTGGTGCGTGAGTGTTTGTGCGTTCGTGTGTGTGTGTGTGTGCGTACGTACGTACATGCGTGCGTGCGTGCGTGCGTGCGTGTGTGTGTGTGTGTGTGTGTGTGTGTGTGTGTGTCTGTGTGTGTGTGTCTGTGTGCGTGCGCGTGGTATGCATGCTTGTGTGTGTTAAACATGACTTGTGGTTGGCCACAGGTTCCCCCAAAAACGTCGGTATCTGGTCGAAGCCAGCACTGCCGAGGGGCATCGATGGCTTTTGTGGAACAAAGAACACGTACGTAGCTGACGAGGCAAATTAGTAAGCTTGCCTTCTCGACGTGTGGCGCGAAGGTGAGCGTGTCAGGACGTGATGGTGAGCATGGTGGAAGCTTCTTCGAAGCCCTTGTGGGCTCATGGAGTCCCCTTGGGAGCTGCTGGCCATCTCATCTTTGGAGCGCCGTTGGGCCACTCATCATGGTGGCGTCGGTGGCCTTGCTGGGCCATCTTGTCAGCCTTGGACGGCGTAGCGAAGCATGATGGGATCAGGGGGGGATCGTGTAAATGTCCAGTAGCCCCCAGACGGCACTTGGCATCATACCACGGCGGCGGATGCTTGATAGAACGATCGTGTTGGCTCTCCGCGCGAGGTTGTGTTCGGGCCTGAGCCACGACGACTTGCTGCCAGAGGTGGAGTGCAACCCCGAGCATCTGGGACGCCCCGGACGGTGGGGCCGCAGATGGATGGGGGCTCCGAGCTCGGGCTGGCCACGCGGGATCGGAGTAGGAGGAGTAGGAGGAGGAGGAGGAGGAGGAGGAGGAGGAGGAGGAGGAGGAGGAACAGGACCAGAGGACGCGGATGAGCAGGGAGGAGGGGAAGGGGGTATGGGGGGGGGGGCGGGGGGGCGCCAGCTGCACGCCAGCTTGGAGCTTGGTCAGGCCCACGATCGCCCTCTGGCGCCCTCTTGGCGTTTCTCTGTGGGAGGAGCCCCCCCCCCTATCCGCGGCTTCCCCGCACGGGTCGTCCTGGCCGGCACGGCGCCCTCTGCCTTCACTTGCTCGAGCGCGTTGCGGAGGCGCGGGCTCATCGGAAAGTACGAAGGGGACGTCGTGATCGTCGTCGACGGTCGAGGCTCGAGATTCCGGTATCGTATTGAGGGTTTTGCCTGCGGTGACCTTACGGGGTACCATGGGGCGTCCCCGTCGCGTCGTGGCTGGATCCGCTCCTCTCTGCGAGGAGGAGCAGGAGGAGGCAGAGGCAGAGGAGGAGGAGGAGGAGGAGGAGGAGGAGGAGCAGGAGGAGCAGGAGGAGCAGGAGCAGCAGGAGGAACCTGAGGAGCAGGAGGAGCAGGAGGAGCAGGAGGAGGGGAAGGAGGGGAAGGAGCAGGAGTAGAAGGAGGAGGAGGAGGAGGAGGAGGAGGAGGAGGAGGAAGAGGAAGAGGAGGAGGCGGAGGATGAGGGGATTAGGAGGAGGAGGAGGAGGAGGAGAAGGAGGAGGAGGAGGAGGAGGAGGAGGAGGAGGAGCGAGCAGCGAGCAGCGAGCAGCGAGCAGCGAGCAGCGAGCAGCGAGGAGATGGCGAGCACGATGAGGACACACATGTTGGCACGTGCTGCTACGAGGGCTCGTGGAGAGAGCCACGTCTGGCTGATGGGGCCTTGACCTCGTTGTGAGCACTCGTGGTGGGGGCTCGAGCCCAGCTGCGGCCAGGGGCGAGGAGCCGGAGAAGGAGAGGAGATGGCGGCGTCGACTGCGCGCCTCCCCCTCCGTCCAATCGTGTGCTGCGTGGTCCCGGAGGCAGAGGCGCAGGACCCGGTCCTGTCCCTCTTCCACGGCGTCCGATTCCTGAAATTTGAGCTCCGAGCTCCAGCCTTGCGGTGGCCAGCGAGGGAGGAGGGGGAAGGGGAGGAGGACGACGACGACGCCCACGGGTTCCTTCCTCCTCCTCCTTCCTCCTCCTCCTCCTCCTCCTCCTCCTCCTCCTCCTCCCTCATTCCTCTCGGGAGGAGGCGGAAAGGCGGGGCAGCGAGGGTCGAGGTTTCTTGAGATCTCACATGCGTCCGAGCGCCTTGCGGGCTCCTTCGGGCCTCCAGGGGGCGCTCTCTCGTGGCCGCGGCGGGGCCCGCCGCGAATCTCCTCGAATCTGCCCTGTCGAAGGGCACCCCTTCGCACCCCCGAGACCGTGCTTGGTCTAGAAAGCGGATGCTCATATTACCAGCCTGGAACATATCCCTATCCCTATGCTGGGCACCTCCTCATCACGATGCCAATCCTAGGGATTCCCTCATTTTTTAAAAGGCAAATCCCGAAGATTGACATCGCCTTTTGGCGTGTCAATCTCAGGGATAGGGATACGCTCGAGGCTGGTAATCATAGGTTTGGACCGTTTCTCAGTCCAGCTTTTCATCCCGAGTCGTGTTTGACGGTCCCGGTGGCCCGGCGAAGGCCCCCAGGGGCAGGACAGGACCCCCCAACCGTCCGTCGCGACCCCACCATTTTTTTCACGACGCGCGGGGACTTGGGCTTCTGGACACCACTGGTCGCAGGCGATGCTTCGCTCGCAATCTCTGAGCTCCTGCACCAAGAAGTCAGGCAATTCAATACAGAAAGGAGGGTAACTAAAGGACACATCCCTGGGACGCACCCCTATCGAGGGTGGACGCCAGCCATCGTGTATCCAGTTGTGTCCCCGAGTGTGTGGCCACAAATTGGTGGACCGCTGGCAAGCCCTGCCCGCGTTCAATGGGCGTCGATTTGAAAGCCCAGGTCCTCTGGACCTCTCTGGCGTCGCCGACGAAAACAACAAGACATCGTGGCGGCAGGTTGCTCGGTTCCCGGAGGACGTTTGCCGGGCTCGTGCAGGGACAACAGAAAACGGGGATCCGAGATATCAAGGCTCCAGGTTGGTAGAACACACTAACGAGTCGAAGCGTGTCCTTCCCACTGGCACCGCACACTATGGGACTACTGAAGAGCAGGAGTCAGGACGATCTGCTAGATTGCCGGGCCTCGGGCGCTGTCACAAGCACGGTATCCGCAAACATGGTCGCTTGCACCGACCGTGGACATATAAGCGCCAGTTGTCCATCCTAGAACTCCACACCCGAAGATGCTCAGGTCGCGCCATCACTGGCCTTAAGCAACATGTGTTCCTTCCGCTGGTGGGCCAACATGATCACCGCGGGAGGATGAGGAAGAGGAGGAGAAGACGGAGAGGAAGAGGAAGAAGGAGGAGGAGGAGGAGTTGGATAAGGAGGAGTAACGACAGGAGGGGCCACGATCAAGTGGTTGGACGGTGACATGAGCGCGGACGCTGTGCCCTGTCGGAAAGGCCCCATTCAGCGGCACTGAACCGATGGTGAGCAAAACTGTGAAGTCTGGCACCGGGCACGGCAGCATCCACAGGGGCGGTGCTTGCTAGCGAACCTGGGATAAGCCAGGGCGCCTTGGGCACCCGAACGCAACGACGACCAAACACTCTTCTGGAAAGGCCCTGCGGCGCCAAGAGCACGCACGCGGCCGCCGAGAGCGGCGGGTGGCTGGGGCGACTTCAGGCCCTAGGAGTGGGAGCGAGCGGCAGCAGGCACAAAGCAGCGGCACGGAGGGAGGAGCTGGCTGGGTAGTCGAAGGCCAGACTGTCAGATTGGATTGGGCCCCAAGGGCCAATCTGGCCTGGCCAAACTTGAGGATTGGGGTTATTCGCCAGACTGGATTCGCGTTGGCTCCCTCGTCAGATTGCCCCCGTCTGCCAGATTGGGCCTGCCAGATTGGCGCCAGATTGGCTTCGACTACCCAGGCTGGGGGAGCGACGAGGGGAAGAGCTGGGGGAGCGACGAGGGGAGCGACGGAGGGGAGGAGGAGGAGAGAGCGAGGGAGGAGCTGGGGGAGCGACGAGGGGAGGAGCTGGGGGAGCGACGAGGGGAGGGGGCAGCGGCCAGGGCCGCGAGAGAGAGAGGCGCCGAGCTCCCCCAGCAGCCTCGCGGCGCGCGGCTCCCTGGCCGGCCTCCTGGCCAGCGGCTCGCTGGGAGCCGCCGGCCGCGGCCGCGGCCGCCTTGCGGGGGGGGGGGTTTGGGTCCCCGCGCTCGAGACTTTCGGGGCGGGCGAAGGGGGGGATTGGGAAAGGGGGGGGTACGAAATGTGCTGCATGCTGCTGGTTTCGGCCTCACCGAGGGGCCAATTCCTCGATACATGGCCGCTCGGCGCCGGGAGGCGCCGGGAAAATCAGCTACGTGAGCTGATTCTCAAACCCCCCCTTTGCTATCCCCCCCTTTCGCCCGACCCGAGACTTCCGGCCTGGAGGATCGAAGAATGAAAGACGCATCACCTAACGTAGTTTCTCGTAGCCCCGCGCGGGTTGCTTGGATCGGCGCTGAGGCCCCCCTGGCGTGCTCCCCGCGCCGAGGGTGGGGTCCAGCGCCGGTCCAAGAAACCTGAGGGAACCACGCATACATTGCACGTTTTGTCGTTATTTTGTGCTCCCAGAGGATCGGGATGGAGCGTTTGCTCAGCTTGTCGCGACGCTGGCTCTTGCCCACCATGCTTCGGCGCGACGCGGTGAGCACACCCCGGCCTCCAGGCGTCGACGTCCCGAGTTTTTGTCCCGGCCTCCCGTCCCACGAGGCAGAGCCTGGGGACGAAGACCGGCAGCAGTGCGTGCCTGACTTGAACCTGATTATCCGTCGGCGTCTCTGTTGGCGTTGTTCACTCGAGATACAGACTCCAGCCCAAGAGCGGCCGCTGTCGGTTTGAGATAACGCGTGAGTGACGCAAGCAAACGGAGTCGTCTTCACCGGCATTGGCGCGTGAGCTTTCAGCTGGAGGACGCGCGTAAGAGCCCTGGCTTCCAATGTAGCGTGCCGCGCTGGAGACACGCGTAAACAACCGCGCAAGGTCGCCCCGAAATTGCTGGTCAGGACGCGCCCTGCGAGTCGTCGTCCGTGGAGTGGTAGCTTCGATACCGTTCTGTGCCACCTCTAGATCGGAGTTTGGGGGGTGAGATCGCCGCTGACCTGCCCCTCGCAGCCACGGCTGGAGTCGACTCCAGATATGCTGGTCGGCACCCGCTCTGCGAGAGTTCCGTGGGGTGGCGGTTTTGGTGCGTCCTCTAGAAATTCGGCGGCGCCAGAGAGGGGAAGTGGGAAGTGGCGGCCTTTTCAGAAGGCTCTGAAGTCCCCTGGCATTCTGGGAAGTTTTCAAAGCCTCCCCGAAAACACGGACAACTTCGCAGATGGCCCGAGCGTGTTTGGGAAGCCCCGCCGTTTTCTGTGAAGGCCTTTTCTTGTTTCAATTCCCTTCGACCGCCGCCGACGTGTGTCTCTTCTAGAAGGGGTTAGATTGGATTACGTTGCACCTTCGGGGTGCCCTGCATGTCCTGCAGAGTGCACTCCTCTGTCGGGCCTGGCGCGACCCGGCGTGGTCTCGACGTGGACTTGACGCGGATTCGACGTGGACTCCGCGCGGATTCGACGAGGTTGTCATGGATTCGACGTGGATAGCGACGCGATGGGTCAGTCAGGACCTTCCCGAAGATGCAACATAACATTGGATAGGCGCTTTGGGGGCGATCGCCCTCCCCAGGACGCCTTGGGGCTGTCTTGGATGCCCCTTGGGCCCTCGTGGGGTCCTCTTCGGCCATCGTTGGACCCTTTTGGGGGCCCCCTGGGGCGTCTTGTGGCCATCGTGGAGGTTGCTTGTGATGGAAGCCCCGACAAAGCGAGAATGCGACAACCATGCCAAAACCAAAGGGAGATCAATGTTTTTGGTTTCTTCGGACCCTGCTGGAAGTGCCCCGCGCACTTGGAATGCCATACGGAGGAAGAAGCGGAGGAGGAGGAGGAGGAGGAGGAGGAGGAGGAGGAGGAGGAGCAGGAAGAGGAGGACGGGGAGGAGGAGGCAGTTCAGGGCACCTCTGCCTGCCGTTGCCCTCGCTCCGCCCTCCCCATTTACACCCAGGCCGCCGAAGCGAGGAGCAATTCAAGCTCCCAGGGTCCGTTTCGTGTTTTTTCCTCTCGGGTTTCGGAGGGGCTCGCGCCTCCCTTCCTGGGCTCGGATGGGGCTCGCGTTTCTTCGGGTCCTTGCGTGGTGTTTCCTCTCTCCAGACCCCTTGGGGGGCCGCGTCGGGTGCCTGGCAGGCGTTCCTCGTGCACCCAGCCGGCGCTCGCGGGACCCAGAAAGGGGTTGCGTTGCTGATGTCTTTATTAACGGTAGGTTCGCATCGCGTCGATGCGGCGGTGGCCCCAACGCGAACGGTCCAGGTGGAACGCCGCCCTTGGCTCACAATCGGCCGACGTCGAACGGTGTGGGTTGTCGGGAAGTTGCGATCGCTCAGACGTTCCAGGGTGAAGGATCCACGCGGTGTCAGAATCCAGCGCCGAATTCGTCAGGACATTGACCTTCCGAAGTGTCCCTAGCGAGGCGCGAGTCCCTCATCCTGATCCGTTGGGGGGGCGGGCGGTTCGGAAGCGCGAATATAAGCGCGCTTCGCAAAGCGCGAAACGCGACGAGACGTAGATGGCCTAGCTTATGGTTGCAGCTTGGGGCTCGATTCAGTCCCCCTCTCGATCCGAGCCCTCGTCCCTTCTGGTCGGGGTGGTCGTCAAGGAATGTGCCCGGCAGGCTTCAGACCCTGGCGGATCCTCTATCTGATGTGGGCGGCGGTGAGATCCTTGGCCAAGCCACGATCGGGGGCCCACCCGTTCCAGAGCTCGGGTTGCTATTCGTCTTGGGGCTGAACACGCGTCCCATCATGTTTCTAGCTTGGATCTCTATTCCCGTAGCGTTCCTTATATCGGCGGCGAGCGAGGGGGGTAAGGGCGAACGAGAAGGCCTTCTCAGATGGCGGCGGGACTTCTCAGAAGCCCTTCGGGGAAGGTTTAGACAACTTCTCGGAAGGCCGGGGGAATTCCGAGCCTCCTGAGAAGGCCCGCCTTTTCTCACTTCCTCCCTGGGCTCGCCGCCGACTATGTTTGCAGCTTGGGTCTATACTCGGCCCCCCCTCTTGGTCCGACTCCTCTTGGGCCGCCGCTGCCGCTGCTGCTTCTCTATCGGGCTGGGCGTCGCTGCAGAGCCATGGGTGCACTGACTCGGACTTGCGTGCAGGATCTGAAAGGATCTTGCAGAACCTTGCAAAGCCTGAGTGACCCGGATGTACATTGATCTTGATCGGTAGATCCCCGAACAAAATCAACCAATTTTCGCCCTCGCGATGTCGCGCCCATCAAATGCCCGAGCAGAGCGAAATGCAGTCTGAGCAGGTGCGCCTCGGAAGTTACACGGCGACCGAGATTGGGGAGGGGGCGCCAGCAAGTATTTCGCGCGCGCTGTCGCCCAAACCCACAGCACCAAATGTAAAAGTGGACTGCGTACATACACACCTTGAAGTTTAGGGCTGTCGAGGGTAGTAGATGAGCGCCCTAACAGCGAAGGGAGGAGCTCTTCACTCCTTATCCCCCATCCGCGCTCCTTCCGTCCTCCCCCCGCCGCAATCGGCGTTGGACTGAGCCTCGAGAGGGTTCGGAAGACGATGCGTGGTAGGGAGAGGAGGAAGAGCAGCGCCCCCCCCCCTCCCCCTTTCTCCCTCCCTACCCGTCCTCGCCCAGTCCCTCCCCTCCCTCGCCGCGTACAGGGAGGCTGGGAGGAGGTGGAGCAGGAGCTGGGGGAGGAAGGCTGACCCATGAGAGCACATGAGGACAAGGGATGGGGGGGAGGGGATGAGCAGGGAGGGGATGCTGCTGCAGCAAACGGGCAGTCAGCATCAGAGGGGGGAAGGGGATGATCAGGCGAGATGACACAGAGGATGATCAGCTGCAGCAGCTGCGCAGTCAACATCGGGATGGTGAGGAGGACGGTGCAGAAGGAGGAGTATGAGGAGGAGGAGGAGGCACGACGATGAGAGGGGGCGTAATGTGACTAGAGCAGCAGATGGCAGCAGGGGAAGGCGGGAACAATGGATGGGTGCTGCGGTTGAGATCGCAGGGGCGATATGGGACTGGAGAATCAGGTCATACAAGAGCAGGAAGAGGAGGAGGAGGAGGAGGAGGAGGAGGAGGAGGAGGAGGAGGAGAAGGAGGAGGAGGAGGAGGAGGAGGAGGGGAACCTGCATAAACCCACGACCCTCCCGTGGCAAGTTCCCTCCTAGCAAGCCCTTCGTTCGTGGGAGCCGCCTCCACTCGATGACAGTGCCCCGTGGGCCTGCCACGCCGGCCGGACCCGGTGTTGCGAGGGATCCGCCCTCCACTGTTCCAGCGAAAAGACTCGCGCAGGTGCCGCGGTTGTGGTCGAGAGGACGGCTGGCCTTTTCGGCGGCCGACGCACGGGCGGCGCACGGGCGACGAATGCGCGACGCACCTCCTGTCGCGAAGGGGGGTGGGTCAGCACGCCGGTCGCTTTACTGGGCCTTAACATCTGGGAGGGAGGACTTGACGCGATTTGTCCGTGTTGGCTTTCGTCTTCCGGCGCTGCGGCCGGCGGCGGTCGCGGTCGCGGGCGCGCGGCCGGGAGGGGGAAACGATCGCGATGTTTGCGCGCGTTTTTTTTTTTTTTTTTTTTTTTTTTGTTTTTTTTCTTTTTCCTGCCAGCCGCGGCCGAGGCTGGCGAGCGGGGCGGCGCAGGGCGTGGGATTGGGAGTTTGCGGAGCAGTCCCGCGACGGCCCCGTCTGGAGCAGCGTGCGCCCTCCATCCGCTGGAGCGTCACACGATTCCGAGGTTCGCCCTGGCTCCGGATCCGCCCTACTTTGGCTTTCTTTCCAACTTCAAATTGCGTCGGATATCCACCTATGAGGAGCCGAAAAAGTAGGGCGGAAGTTGCTGCACCCAGCATAAAATAGGGCGGAAACCCACAGAAACAGCGACAGAAAAGTAGGGCGGAAATTGGCATCAGCGGGGCTTGAAAAGTAAGGCGGAAATTCCAAGCCCCACTTACGAATTTCGCCAAAGTAGGGCGGATCCGGAGTCAGGGCGGGCCATCAGGTCTGATGAGGTCTTAATTCGGGCCGGACGAAATGGGGGGATTGGGAAAGAGGGGGTTACGAAATTTGCTGCATGCAGCTGGTTTCGGCCTCGCCGAGGGGCCCATTCCTCTATACATAGTCGCCTCCGGCGCCGGGAGGCGCCGGGAAATTCAGCTACGCGAGCTGATTCTCAAACCACCCTTTTGCCGTCCCCCCCTTTCGCCCGACCTGATTAATCGAGATCCGCGTTTTTAAAGGAGCCGCCTTCCCGCAGTGCAAGCGATACAAGAGTGCGGCTCGCGGTTCAGGGGGTCTCGAGAAGTCGCGCGCAAGAGCTGCGTGTTGAAGGCGTGCAATGCGCGCGGCGCTAAGTCGAGAGCTCCATGTGGAGAACGATGAGACCTCCCTCAGTGTAACTGTCAGAGCTTTTTGTGCAAGATGTAGGGAAGTCTCGAGCGAAGCGCCCGGCCCGGCCTATGGGCACGCCTGGAAGTGCGACCAGGGGGATGCAGCAGCAGCAGGACCAGACAACAGCAATCGAAGCAGGGACGAGGCGTCGTCGTCGTCGTCGCTGTCCACGTTGTCGTCGTCTTCGTCGTCGTCTTCGTCGTCGTTGTCGTTGTCGGAGGTGGTGGTGGTGGTGGTGGTGGTGGTGGTGGTGGTGGTGGTGGTGGTTTGGAGGAGGGAGGAGGGGAAGGAACGGAGAAGGAGGAGGCCCTGGTTGCCAGGAGACGTGGACGCACCGGCGGCCGCGCGGCACTACGAGGCATTCGCGGAGGCGGCCTCAGGATCACCTGGGCTCGAAGGAAGAAGGAAACAGTCGCCCGCCCCGACTTGATTTCGTTCGCCTTCTTAAGTTCTTGCCTCGCCTCTTATCCTCCATTCAAGCCGCTGCTTCCCTTCCTTCCTCCCCTCCGCGCTGTCCCCTTCTTCTCCTCGATCTCGCCCACCTTCTTGAGTGCGGGCCGTTTTTTCCCCTCCTCCCTCCCCTCCGCGCGCTTCCCCCTTCCCTTCCTCCCCCCCCCACCATGCTGCTCCCGCTCCCCGCGTCCTCGCCCGGCTCCCTGTGATTCTCCCTCCCGCCGCTGCGCTCGCGCCGCTGCGCTCGCGCCGCCCCCCGGGCCCTCCCCCCCCCCCGAAGTGTCCGAAGCGGCTTGCTGCTGCCGCCTGGCGGCCGAGGCGAGGCGGGTCGGGCCCGCGGGGCCGCGCTCGAGGTGCTGCCGTTGCCCTCCGCCTCGCCGCCCACGGCACAGCGGGCTTGGGCATCGCTCGGAGGTGTGCATTTGTTCTCGGCGAGGGCCATCGAGGACCCTCCTGGACCATCGAGCAACAAAACACACGCACGAAACCGAAAAAGGCACGAGAAATGCACGTCCGAGCGACGGCAAGTGTGGGCCCATGCCAAGAAACACCCCGCTTGCCTCCAGGGCGCCCCGGGCTTCTTGGGTTTCGGTGGTTCTGCTGTGGCAGGCGCGGCATGTCCACACCCAAAATCAGTGAACATCCTGGGGTCTCAGGGTCGGGTTTCTTGTGGAAGGCTTCTTGTGGTCGGGCCCCTCCTGGCGCGGCGGAGCTGTGTTGGTCGGGCCCCTCCTCGGCGCCGTGCCCGTTCCCAAGGCCCCCCGAGGGCTTGCGCCCACGCCCCTTGGGCCACTGACGCGGCAGAGCAGGACAGGACGGGGGAGGACAACAGCCTATTGTCCTCTTCTCCCCCTCCCCCTCCTACTGCCAGATTGGCGCCAGATTGGCTCTTGCCAGATTAGATCAGATCGACTCCCTCGCCAGATTGCCAGATTGGACCCGCCAGATTGGCTTCGACTACCCAGATAGGAGAGAGTCCTCCTCCTGCCCCGACCCCCCCCTCGCTGCGAACACACATGAAGGTACAGTTCCTGGCAGCTCCCAACTTCGGGGGCCTTCGCTGGGCACCGGGGCCGTCAAGAAAAGGCGGCTCGGGATAAGGCTGGCCCGGGGAAGGGGCCCAGATCTCCGGGGGCCCCCGAGAAGTGTCCCCGCGAGTGAAGCGCCAAGTTGCCCCTCGTGGCCATTGCGGCGCCGCTGAGTGCCATCAGTTGCCGCTCGGCATCGCGCAGTGGTGTGTGCCTGATGCGGCCGGACCGAAGTATGAGATCGAGGTCGGCTCGGGGAGGGTACCCCAGTGTTCTTCGTGCTTGTCGCATGCTCTTGTGCATTCTGGGGGAGGGCACCCTCGAGTGATCTTTCGGTATTGGGGTGTTTTGGCTGGCGGAGGGTCTCATGTTCTTGACGGATGTTCTTCTGTCCTAGGTCTGGCCGTCGACGCGATGGACATTGCGAGATTCCCCAGGCTGCCCACACGGACCTCAGGAGAGAAGGGTGACAGGAGGAGGACCGGGGGGGGAGACCCGAGGGAGGCGCCCCCGCGCCCTCACTCCGCCTCCTCGCTGCCTCCAGACATCCGACGACATGAGTGCTTCAACCCGGGCCCCCAGACCTCCCCAGCCCCCCCCTGGGGGGGGGGGGGGGGGGCAGTTCTCCTCTCCAGGGCCCGATGGCGGGCCCCCTGGGGCCGAAATCGAGAGAGCACGCCGGGGTTGAGCAACATCGTATCGGCTGAAGCTCTGGCTTCCGTCTCTTCCTCGCTGCCACCCCCCTCCCTCGTGGGCCACAATCTGTAGGTAGACAGATGTATGTATGTATGTATGTCTGTCTGTCTGTATGTATGCATGCATGCATGTATGTATGTATGTCTGTGTGTATGTCTGTCTGTCTGTCTGTCTGTCTGTCTGTCTGTCTGTCTGTCTGTCTGTCTGTCTGTCTGTCTGTCTGTCTGTCTGTCTGTCTGTCTGTCTGTCTGTCTGTCTGTCTGTCTGTCTGCATGCATGCATGCATGCATGTATGTATGTATGTATGTATGTATGTATGTATGTATGTATGTATGTATGTGCGTGTATGTGTCTGTATGTATGTGTGTGTGTCTGTATGTATGTCTGTCTGTCTGTCTGTCTGTCTGTCTGTATGTATGTATGCATGCATGCATGCATGCATGCATGTATGTATGTATGTATGTATGTAGGTAGGTAGGTAGGTAGGTAGGTAGGTAGGTATGTATGTATGTATGTACATGTACATGTATGTTGCTACACACGTATCCGCGGCCTCTCGGGCTGGGCCCATGGGCCGCGCCCCCGCGGCTACGTGGCGTTTTTTTTGCGGATGCCCCGCGCGGCACGTGTCCGTGCGAGCGCGTCTGCGCGGGACCGCGCCCGGGCATCCCAAACCGGGAGGCCGCGGATGCGGACGTGTTCGCCGCGCGCGACCCCCCTGGAGGCGCCGGAGAAGACGGCACCGGCGAGGGCGACACGGGCGGTGCCCCTCCCGTCCGAGGGCTCGAGGTCACCTCCCGCCACGGCGCCACTTTCGGGTGGGAGGACCACGGCCTGGAGGCGCGCGGAGGGGCTGGCAAAAGACAGGCCAATCGAATTCGGTGCGGTCCGAAGGTGCACGGAGGGAAAGGACATTATTTTTGGCGAGCCCAAAACCCAATCTTCCTCGCGTTGTGAAAAAAATGCGACGGAAGGTTTTTCGCTATTTTTGGCTTTCTGGGGCTCTCCCAGGGATTCGGGACCGTCAAAAAACGATCCAGGATGAGAAAAATTGTCCCGGGGAGTAGGTAGAAACCTTTGGGGGTCGACGTCATGAAAAGATCATGACGTCGGGGGTCTGGGCTGCCCCCCTCACCCCCTTCCCCCCCCCCCCCCCTTCCCGCGTAACGGTACCGAGCGTAGTTACGCGTGGGGGTCTCGCTCTCCCCACAGGCTTCGCGCGGTGCTCCCAAGAAAGCGGCAGTGCTGACAGGCACGCGCTGCTGCTCACAAGCATGCGGTGGCGCTCGCAGCAGGCCTGTGCCCCCTCCCCAGGTAACGGCAGCTACGGAGGTGAACCGGATTCGCAATCGGTGTCGCCGCGGACCGCGGACGCCATCCGTTTTGGACGGGAAGCCGCCTGCCCAACAGGGACTGCCGTCGGTTTGGGGCAACGTTTGTTGTTGGGCGTCGTATTCAATGTCTTACGTACTGCTTTCGGTCGTTCCAACAAATGGGGATCGGAGGATCTCGCCGCACCGCCCCTGCGTCGCCGATGCGGCGCGACCTGGAGTCCTATTTCCTAAATTTGACATCGCCGAGGCATCCTCGATGTGTCGGCGGTGCGGCGCGATGCTCCGACCCGATCAGCTTCGACCCCATTAGGGCGGCCTCCTGGCAAACCCTGCTGGGCTCTCTCCCTCCTGGACCTCATCCTCCCCCTCGTGCTCCGACCAACGGACAGATCTCTGGCTTCAGCAGTAGATCGTTTCCTGCATTCGCACAGTTGCCCACAGCTGCCCTCGAGAGTAGGCGCTGATAGTGGCGCGCTCTCAGGGCAAGCAGATCCTTTCTCCTCGTCAGCCTCGACCTCCTCCTCCTTCTCCTCCTCACTGCGATTGTGATCGTAATGTTCCGCCCTTCGGGTAAGAACAACTGCATAAACATCACGTTTCCGAAGGGCACCGCATATCTAGTGCAGATTCCCCAAACAGTGCTTGCACTTAGGTGCCTTCATTTCCTTCTAAGGAACTGGGTTCGTGCGTCGGTCTGGCGTTCATGTTGCCGTCGTCGCCGCCCCGTCGCCGCCTAAAGTACACAACGTAGGCCGCACCGCGCAGATCCCCCTTTCCTACAAGAGTATTCGGATCTACCTCCCCCCCTCGACTTAGCGGGTCACAGTTTCATATTGTCATTTACACATGATTCTGATCCATCGTCCATTCGAGTTTTGATTGATACATTCCCAGGTCGGCGCCTATCGGCATCCCCCACACCCTGTACAAGAATTATTGCGCGCGCGCAATCGTTAACACACAGTCGCTATTTTTTCCAGAATCCTTTGCAACAGATCGGACGAAGTGCACGAGCGCGTCGTCGCGCGCGCATGCCGAAATTCTTCAAAAACCGTTCGGGTTCGTACGGATTTGAAAATCGAGTGCCCCGAACTGGTCTTAAAAGCAAGGTTTCGCTTCAGGAAGGTTCACGAAAACATGCGCTCGCGATCTCGCGAATCCAGCAGAAAATTACGTTTGTTTTGCATGTTCATGACATGCTACCAAACGTGCCTCTCGCGCGGGCAGGCCGAAATAGTTCGAACGCCCTTGGGCGCGTGCTGTCGCAAGAATCCCTGGGAACAAAAAGCCAGACGAAGTGCATACGCGTGCGTCGTCGCGCGCATGCCAAATTCTTTTTGTCAACATCCAGTGTCCCGAAAACATATAAAATCACAGGTGGTGTTGCAACGTAGATTTGCCCAAAAAGCCTGCGCGTGTGTGCTCTGCGCTCTTGCGATCCCCCCTGAAAACCATCGGTTTTCGACATGTTCATAACATTCGACCAGACGGGCCCCTTCGCGCCGCATGTCGAGCTGACCGCTGTGAGCACGAGCATGCGCGGATTAGCGCGGCCGCAGAAATGCAACAGCCAACACCACATATTTAACGCAATCGCCAATGGGTTTTGCAAGCCAAGTTGCGGGCAGGTGGGTGGGATGATTGCGCGGGCAGTGGAGTTGATAACCCCGATGTTTCCAACAAAACATGCATCGCTTAGATTGCACAACACAGTTTGCTTTACCTGTAATGCACCCCCAATGTAGCACAACATATATTGCACCAATTAGGTAGCGCCACGTCGATTGCAACGCATATGTTGCGCACCACAGTTATGTATCACAACATAGATTACACAAAGGCTATTGCACAACCTAGGCTGCACCACCTATAGTCCGCAACTTGCATTGCACATATCGCACATCATCAGTTTTATAAACACACAGTGTTGGTTCCACATTGGCTAGCATGTTGTGTAAAAGTTAGTTTGCGAACGCGCCTCCATAATACGCGAGGATATACATCACGCAAGATGCAGTGACAAGGATCGAGACCGCACCCCCGGAACACCCCTTGCGGAGCCGAGAATTCGCCACCTTGGCCACACAATATAGACCGCATTTCCTGCGCACGCGTGCCACGCATTCCACGTTGAAAGGGACTGGGGCCGCACTAAATACAGACCCCCTGTGGTGGTAAAGACGTGCCACCTTTGCCGCGCAATATGGGATGAAACCAGTAGAGACCCCACCCCGCGCCGCGCCACATGTGGAGGCAAGGGGGTGCCACCTTTGCCGCGCAGTATAGGGTGAAGCGGGTAAAGACCAGACCTTCTGCGCACCCCGCCTTGTTTGCGAGGAAGTGCCACCCCCAGCGGCAGAGACCGCACCTTTTGCGCACCCCACATGGTGGCAAGGACGCGCCACCACTGCCGCGCAATATTCGGTGAAACGCGTGGGGGCCGCACCCCTTTAGCGCCCCCCCCTGGTGGCAAGGAGGTGCCACCCATGCAACGCAACAGAATGCGAAAAGGGTAGAAACCACGCCCTTTGCCCCGAACAATAGGGCGAAACGGATACAGGCCGCACCCCTTCTGCGCATCCTTTCAGGTGTCGAGGAAGTGCCACCCCTTGCCACACGGCAAAACGTTTAGAGACCCTTCCTTTAGTAGCGAGGAAGTGCCACCCACTGCCACGCAGTCTTCGGTCAAACAGATGAAGACCGCACCCCCGAGCATCCCCTCTGGTGGCGAGGAAGTTAAAACCTTGCCACCCATTGCAAAGCGAAGCGGATAGGGACCGCACCCTTTGCGCACCCCCTTTAGGCGGTGAGGAACCGCAGCCTTTGCAGCGAAAACTACAGTGAACTGATAGAGACCGCACCCCCTTTCGCATCCCGTATGGCGGCGAGGAAGTACACGATATATGGTGAACCAGAAATGGACGCACCCTCTGCGTACCTCTTCTGGTGGCGAGAAACCTCCACTTTTGCCACGCAGTGTAACAAGCGGATAGAGACCGCACCTTTGGCGCACCCTTTCGGATGGCGAGGAAGTGCTACCCTTCTGCCGTGCGACATACGGTGAAGCGGATAGAGACCGCACCTTTTGCACTCCCGGCCCCTTGTGGTTGCCATAATATGCGGTTGCGGTGGAACGGGCAATTTGAGACAGCCCCCCGCACCCCTCTGCTTTGGACGTGTTTGTGTATGGGTTTGTGTATGTGCGGTGTATGTGGGTGCATGTCCATGTGCATCTGCATGGGTTTGTGTGTATGTTGGCAGGCATGTGCACGTGTGGAAAAAGGAAGGAGGTGAGGTGTGAAAGGTGACGCGGGTGCGGTGCAGGTGGGGAAGAACATGATAACTTGATTGAAGACGTGGGAAATCAAAGTTATGAGGTCCGCGCGGATTTCTTGGGTTAGCATTAGACCCACCCTTGACGGCGTCTCTGGCGTCGCCCCTGGCGCGCTTCGCGCGCCAGGCAAGGGTGATCCAGAGCCGACCACAGAAATCCGCGTGGACCTGAACGCTTAAGCGTATTGCGCAGTTGTTCATATTTTCTATCCTCGACCACGGCCTCATCATCGCACCCGCACTCCCCCCATTTCTTCCCTGCCTGCTCCTACGATACCGCGCTGCCTTCGGGGGATGCACCAGCACTCCCTGCGGGAGGCAACGCTGTGCCGCACTGCCTTCCCTGGGGACAGCCAGCGCTACCATGCGGGAGAGGCCTGCTGTCCCTGCGAGGTGGCTGGGCAGCTGGGGCGGCAGGTCTCGGGCCAGATATTCTGGCCACTCTGATGGCCCGTCATCGGGGGCCAAGTCGGTGAGCGCAATATAAAACAGTATGCATCTATACATATATATATGTATGTATATATATATATATATATATATATATATATATATGCACGCGCAAATACAATTTGTTGATCGAATATTCCAGAAGGACCCCCACCCTCCCGTGCATAATTCGGCCTTGGGCGCCCCCACCAGCGTGAAATTCGGATTTTCGGTTTCGGGAGCCCTCCGGGCCATCCTACGCCCCCAGAGAGCCGGTGGTTTTACACTATGGCAAGTTTACTTGCATGCACGGGGGGGGGCCTGAACCTGAAGCAAGCCGCAGACGACTTGACGTGCGGAAATCACGCAAGTCGAAAGGCACTTGCACGCTCGTATTTGATTGACACGGGGCGAAGGGGGGGGGGGAGAGGGGGGGGGGGGAACGCCGCGCAAGTAAGCTTGCTTGGATCTGGAGAAAAACAGGCTCCGAGCGGGCCCGGGCTCGCGCTCCCTGGACGGTCCCGCGGAGCCCCCGGAGCGGCCCATGGGCCGCTCCAGAGCGGCCAGGGAGCGCTCAGCGAGGGCCCAAGGTGGCTTCAAGACGGCCCACGAGACCCCCAAGACGTTTCATGAGGAACCCAAGGGGACCGAGTCCCCTTAGGCAGACGTGCATTTTCAACAGAGTCGCTTTTTCAGGGTCCACTGCGTCCGTGACGGCTCAAGAGGCCCCACAGATCGCCCCTAGGACGGCCCAAATATTGCCCCAAAAGGCCCCAAGACGGCCCAAAAGTTTCTGAGACGGCCCAAGACAGGCCCCAGAGGGTCCCAAAAGGCTCCCAAGAGAGTCCCAAGAAAGCTACAGGAGAACCCCAAGAGGACTCAAGAGAGCCCCAAGAAAGCCCAACGACGGTCGAACCCCCCCAAGACGGTTCAAGAGTTTTTGCGAGTTTGTGCGGTAGATGTTTCCAATCACGTGCCAAAGTCTAAGCACTAAGACGTTCCCAAATTTTCAGCGCGCGATCCCGCGCCCTCACGCTGCACGAGCTGCGCAACTTGCTTTCCAGGAGGCCCCGAGTCGGCCGCCTGACTGCCCGTAAGGCCCCGCAAGATGGGTTCAGAGCCCCTATCAGCCTCATGTGCCTTACGATCCCACAGGCCCTCTGGAAAATGTACGCTCACGAGCCTAATGCGCCGTGCGACCTTGTGATCCTCACGGCCTCATACGCATTCTAACCCCTACTGGTCCCATCATCCCTATTCGTTCATGAGCCCCGTGGGCCTTGGACCCCATGAACCATATGGCTCCTATGAGCCTTGTGAGCCCCATGCGACCAATGGCCCCTCCGAACCCCGTGAGCCTTCTGAGCCCCATGGGCCTTGCGAGCCGCATGAGCACTACAACAAGCCCTATGCGCCCTGCGAGCCCTATGGGCCAAATGCCGCCCGTGAGCCGATGAGACACATAAGCCTTATGAGCCGTATGAGCCCTACGAGCCTTACAAGCCACATGGTACTACGAGCCTTATAACCTCTATCGGCTCTGTGGGCCCGATGAACCCCTTGAGATCAATGAGCCCGACGAACCCTATGAGCCCAACGGGCCCAGTGGGCATTATGGGCCCTATGTCGCCTTATGGGCTCCATAAGGCCTGCGAGCCTTATCAGCCTATGAGCCATATGACTCCCGTCGGCCACATGAGCCTCATGACCCGGACAGCCCGTTCTGAACCTTCTGAGCCTACTGGGCCGAATTTGCACAATGCCCCTTATGAGTTCCATGAGCCTCACAGGCGAGCGAGTGGCTTCTGTGAGGCCAAGGACCCTACGAGCCTCCACGCCCATTGAGTTCAGCAGCCCGAGGAACCCTCGGAGCTCAGGTATGGCTGCGGGCACGTAGAACTTCATGATCCCCAGGCGCCGCGCGGCCCGAGGCGCCCCCGTTCCACGTCCGCGCTCCGAGCTTTCGGGCCCCAGTGGCGGCGGAAAGCCCTTCCTACCTCTGACCCTGCCTCGTTGCCGAAACACACCGCGGCGCTGGCGACCACCAGTCGCAGCGCGCCTCGCTGGCGCCATGCGACCCAGATTTTAAAAGGCGAAGCGAAGCGAGCTGAACACATCTTGTGTATACATATATATATATATACACACCATCCTTGCGGTGTTTTTTGGGGAGTTGGTTAATCACGGTCAGCGCGGCGCTGACGTGCAGTTGACCGGGGTCGCGCATTTGGAGACAAGCGCGCCTGCCGGGCGATTGAATTCCGCGGCAGGGCGGGTGTTGTGCGCAGCTTCTCCACGCCAGTACGGTACTCTCGATTTCATTGGATCTTGCGACTCAGGTGTTGCGCGTAGGTCCTTGGGCCGGCCCAGTCTGTGGTGCATGTCATCGTTTCGGTGTGTATAACGAGGGTTTTGGACTGGGGCGCGGAATTAAGTCTCCTCGAAAGTATCATACCCCAGCCGTGTTTTGAGGGCGGTCCATAGGGTTGCCGGGATTCGGACACCGCCTGCTTGGGGGGGAGGGCTGCCCGTTGCGGCCGCGCTTCGCCCCAGTCGCGGATTGCCGCCCTGTGCTCGGCCCTGTGTCTCCCCGCTAGAGCCGCTAGAGCCCGGGCGATGTTAGAGTTTGTCACCGTGACGAACCCATCATATTTGCTAGCTTGAAGGTTCGCAGTGCTTTCAGCAGCTCTTGTTGTGAAGGCCTCGCGGCCGGTGTTCCGCCTGCCCTGCAATGAGGAGCCCGAGACGTGCGGGAGGTAAGGAGTCGAAGGGAAGGCTTCTCGAAGGGAGGGGTGCTCCCCCACGGGGGGATATCTGGAGGGGGTCGCAACTCCTGGGTCCCCCCCTGAACCCCCCCCTGGCGGGGAAGGGATCAAATGGAAGGGGCTTCCTCTCGACTCGATAACGGCGTTGCTCGATTTCCCTTTGGCTGGGACGTTTGACGAGGAGCGCCCGTTCCGATTCGATTCCGACATCCCGACTGACTATCCGATGCGGCCCAGCGATGATTGCGCTGCGCTGTTGTGCATCCTGGCGCGCCCGATCCGATTCGGATTCGATTCCGTGCCGATGCAGCTCGATCCCATGGGAACTCCGACGCGATCCGACTTCCTAATTCGATGCTGTCCGACGCTGCCTCGATCTCCTCCCCGCTGGCGTCGCCCGCCTCGGCCTGCCTCCCGCCCGTCCCCGGAGGCGCACTCGGCGTACGCGAAGGCGGCGGAGATCCGCGTCGGCGAGCCGGGCAAGGATGCCAAGGCCCCCCCCCCCGCGCGTGCGCAGCGCCCCGCGGGGGAGGGGAGAGCCCAGAGGTCCGCCAACCGCGGCGTGCGAGGACCGCGGTTTTTGAGCCCTCGTCGTCGATTCGCGGCGGTCTTCCAGCCTCGGGCTGACATCGAGCGGCTGCCCCTCGCCGAGAGCGTTCTGGGGGGTGCCTGGATCGCTCCGGGCGGCGGCCAGAGAGCCGAGTTGATGACCCGAGAGCCAGACGACCAGAGGAGAGGGAGGAGGAGGAGGGGGAGGAAGAGGAGGAGGAGGAGGAGGAAGAGGAGGAGGGGGAGGAGGAGGAATAATAATAATAATAATAATACTAATACTACTACTAATAATAATACTGATAATAATAATAATGGTAATAATAATAATAATCCTTGCGGGTCGAGGAGAGCGAGTTGAGACAACGCCACGCGCGAGGGCTGCACACCTGGCGCACCCAGCCCAGGCGAGAGCTGGACGACACTGTGTCGGCGGCGAAATCCGCACCCTGCCCTCGCAGATGACCGACTCAGACAGCTCCATGGGCGGCGGGGGTAGGGCTCTGAATTCGTCGAAGCGCGGCGAAATCCGAAACCAACCCCCGCCTCCCATCGAGTCAGGGGAATCTATGGTTGAGGGGGGGCAGGCTTCGGATCATCGAAGATACAAGAACCCTTAACGCACTTAAAGGTCCCCGTCTTTGCCTTGAGGTCAATGGTTCAATGTGTGCGGTCTGGCTTGATACCTCTGCAGCAAGTACCCCCATACCCCTAATGTGTTCGGCCCTCCTAGCTTACGTCCTTGTCTTGCTAAGGGGCTATGAGGTAGGGGTTAGGGGTCTCCCTGAGGGTAAGGGGACATTGGGTGATTGCACTGCTAATCATCGGATGGGGTTAGAGGTTGTCGTATTGATATGCATTGGCATCCCAGAGGGTTAGTGGTTTATGTATTGCTCATCATCGGAGGTCGCCTCTCGGCATGCAGTCAGCCACCTGCCCGTCCAGCGCTTGGCCCCCCCCCCCGCGGCTGGGCACGCTGGCCCCCTTCCGCGTTGCGCGTCCAGCGCTCGATCCCCCCTCGCGAGCTGGCTGTGCACGTGGCCTACTTCTTTAATCTATATATATATATAGACAGATAATTCTGTGTATATATATATGTATATATATATGTGTATATCTATATATATATATATTCTCATACGCACCTCTCCGAGGGAGTAGAGCTCAGAGGCGATTAATGCGCACGCGTCCGCGATTTTTCTGGGCGCTTCGCTCGGGACATCCTCGAAATTCTGAAAATCGGTGGCACCCCTCACGCAGATCGCGACGTCAGGGTCCAAAGACACATGGGAAATTCAACATTTTAACATAACACCTTCAAACAAAAATGTTAATTTCAATAATTGTGACCCCGATTCTCAGTGAATGGCGGTTTCGCTTGAAAAATCCTTCCAAAATCGAGCCCCAGACCCCGCCTCGGAGCCTCCTGGGGGCCTCCTGGAACCTCCTGGGGCCTCCTGGGCCTTCTGAACCTTCTGGCACCCCAGACCCCGCCTCGGAGCCTCCTGGGGGTGTCCTGAAACCTCCTGGGGCCTCCTGCGGCCTCCTGGAGCCTCTTGGGGCCTCCTGAAGCCTCCTGGGGTCTCCTGGGGCCTCCTGAGGCCGCCTGGGGCCTCCTGGGGCCTCCTGGGGCTTCAGAACTACATGCACACAGAGACACAAATCACGCCCAACACATCACACGCTAGACAAACATAACACACACACAACACCTACAACACACAAAAAGCACGCACCACACGAAGCATACATCACACACACACACACACACACACACACACACACACACACACACGCACAACACTCACAATCCTGGGGCCTCCTGGAGCCTCTTCTGGTATCCAAGTCGGGCCTCCTAAGGCTTCCTGGGGGCCCTGGTACACACATCGCAAGGTGTGGCAACCCCACTTGCGCTCGAGTGCGACTTCGATGTTGCATTTCACTCCTGCTTCAAACGCCCCTTCAGTTTTTTGTATGAGCCTGGGCACACACGTGCCACTTGTACATACATATATATATATATATATATATGTATACATATATATGCATAGAGATGTGCGTATGTATATTCCTCTTCCTATATGTTTATAAGCCCGGGCGGGGGGAAAACCCGTCCCCCCCATCTAAAACCGGACCCCCGGGATCTGGAGCTTTGGGACCCTCCGGACGGGCCTCGAAGCGGCCCCCTGGGCCTCGCAGGGCGTTTTGCCAAGCCTTCGCAGCACACCCAGGGCGATCAGGGGGGTCACCGGAGACGTCCCAGAGACCCCAAGACAGCACAAGAGCGCTCCAAGAAGCCGTCACACCTCGAAAGATCGCTCCAAAACGTACCAAGAGGCCTCCAAGAGCACCCCCAAGAAGGCCCCAAGAGGGAAAAATCATTGATTCTATGTAGGTGTTTGGTGCAGTTGGGGTTCTCCTCTTTTCGGCTTCCCGACGCTCCAAGACGGCGGTCTCCTAGGCGTCAGAAGCCGCCTGGGAGGCTCCAAAATCGCCCAACAACCATCCGAAAGGGCTTCCAGGCAGTCCAAGAGAGCCCCAAAACGGCACAGCAGGAGTCCAAAATGGCTCTAAGAGAGCACCATGGCGGCCCAAGATGGCCCCAAGACACCTTCCGAAGCATTCCAAATCGTGACTGGGGCGTTCAGGGAGACCGCGGTTAGAGGCAGGTTGGCCTTAGGAAGCCCCAGAGGCCCCCAGAACACACCCAGGAGGCCTCCAGAAGGTTTTAAAAAAGCCTGAGAACTTTGGTGAGGCCCCCAGAGGCTCTCCAAGGAGAAGCCTCCGCAAAAAGAGCTGAGGAGGATGGGGAGAATGCCCAGGGTATGGCGAGAATGAGGAAAAATAAGCATGGAGGAAGGATAACGAACAACATTATTATAAAGGCGATGCCAGAAAAGGCAGCAAGGAGTTATCGTTAAATTGTCGGCTTGACCTTCCTGCCATTTCCGCCTGCATACCAAACTTCAAGGACAAAGGTGCATGGCGCGAAGCGCCACTGCAGTCTTGTCTTGTCTTGTATATACATATATATATATATATATATATATGTGTATATATACATATCTATATATATATATGTGCGCGTCTGGCGTGCAGGTAGACTGCTGGCAGGGGCGCGAGGACAAGCGTCGGGGCTCAAGGGACGGGGGTCAATGCAAACGGGGGTCAGCCAGAGCGCCGGATCTTGCAGAGGAGTATGCAGAGCCAGGGGTACATTGACCTGGGCTTGCGTGCAGGATCGTGCAGGTTCTTGCAGGATCTCGCAAGGCCTGACTGACCTGGGTTTGTACTGACCCGGATCAGTGCGTCCCCGAAAGCGCGTCTCGAGTCCCGTGGCCTAGGCCAGAGAGCCAGGCGCCGCGCGACCGCTGCCACAAGGCGCAGTTCGCAGCGCTTTTAGCCTGCGCGAGGCGATTTTGTGGAGCTCTGGCCTGCAGCAGGGAGGTCAAACGGTCCTCCGCTTCTCTGTCCAAGAGTTGCCTCTCCCTCAAGGTTAGGGAGGGCACAGGAGGTTCTGGAGCCTCTTTGGAAAGGATTCCGGAGGAATGAATGGGGGGAGGAGAAACAGAAGGAGGGTACGGGGGAGGGGGAGGAGGAAGGGGAGAGGAGGCAGATGACAGACGATCACGGAAGAGGGGAAGGTGCGGGAAGGGCATGCTGAAAGTAGAGAGGGCATGCTGAAAGTATAGAGGGGGGGGAGGGAATACGGAGGCGGACGAGGAACGAGGAGGGAAGGGCGAGCAGGAGGCAGGCAGGACATCGCAGGCATGCGGTGGAGCAGGAGGCGTGCGAGGAGGGAGGCCGGAGCGCGGGGGGCACGGAGTGTCTGCAGGCTCCCGGGCCGCGTGTGGCACGGGTGCCCCTCGGGGCAGGCTTGTCCCGCTGCGAGCGCCAGCCTCCGGGGGGGGGCCCGCGGTCCAGCGCCGCAGCGGGGGGGAAGAGGCTGGGGGAGGAGGGCGTTGAGCGGAGAAGGGGTTGGAGGCAGCCGGGAGAGCGAGGCGGGGGGCAGAAGGAGACGGAGGGGCAGGAGGAGGACCAGAGTCAACCCAGGATGTGCCAGCACTGCGGCGAGGCACCCTCCCGTAGCAAGTCCCCTCCCCATGCGTCCCTGCACGCTTTTCTTTTCAGAGCTAGAAGCGCCCCCCTCGAAAGACCAGGTCCAAGTGGGCCTCGTATTTTGGCGAGGGCTCCGTTTTGACAAGGAGCCGCCTCGCATCCTTGCGTATGGTCAGAACCTTTGCCCTTAGCGTGTCGCGCCGCCAGTTCTGGCCCATCACGCTTCGGCGCGACAGGCTAACCACTTCCTGGTCCCCAGCCCGCGGAGCAGAGCGACATGCTATCTGCTCGGAAGACACAGTGTGTCGCCAGGGATGCCGCCCCGAGTAGTGTGTCAAAGTTTCGGGTCAGTGAGTCTAGAGATGGTTCTAACGAGAACCCCATAGAACAATGTCTTCCATACTCAGCTGCCGCAAGCTTTAAGCACGAGTGTGCGTGGCGCCAAGGCGAAGGGCCCATGTCGCAAGCGATGTGCGCTCCATCCTTTCCACTGTTGCCACAGTGTGCGACGAACGTGCGTGTCGCTCAGGTGTTAGCCCCACTGTGAACATGAGAGGCCCTGCATCGTTACGCCTTTCCCAAGCCAGTTTGGACGACCTGGCGCGGCACTGCGACGGAGGCCACATTTTGAACACAACCCCCCTCCACGATTTAAACTGCTGCATTATGTTTCAACGAAAGTGCGAGGCGCTGAGGCGAGCTCGCCGTTTTGAAAAAGGCCCACCCTGAAGCTGCCGCAACATGTTTAAATCGAATGTGCGGGCGCTCAGGCGAGAGCCCCAGTTTGAAAAGGGAGCGCTCTCCATCCGGGAGGCTGTAGAATGTCCAGGACTCTGAAGGTCCAGGTTGCAACGGAGGCGCCCTCGATCTGTGCAGTGTTACGCGTGTTGATGCTTCGTGCCTCCACGGTAGAGGATGCCTCGAACAATAACCCAATGTACAAGATATACCGTCTTCCATCTTGCTAACTGCTGCCAGCTGTAAAACACGAGTGTGCGCGGCGCTCCAGCGAGAGGCTTGTTTTGAGAGCCACCTGCGCTCCACCCTTGTAACCGTTGCAGGCTTGTTCAACGAATGTGCACAGCGCTGAGGCCGGAGCCCCATTTTGAGAACTCCCCCCCCATTCACGTATCTGTCGCGAGGTTTCGAAACGAAAGTGCCCTGCGCTGGAGCGAGATCCACAGTTTGAAAACAACCCTCCACCATCCCTGGTGCCCTTGCACGTGTCAAACTTCAGGACCGTACGTGATGAGGAAAATTCCGGCGACACGCCCAGGCCCGCCCTACCGACGCGTGTGTGTGTGTGTGTGTTGTGTGTGTGAATTCGTGTGTGTGTGTATAGGTGTGTGTATAGGTGTGTATGTGTATATAGGTGTGTGTGTGTGTGCTCGTGTGTGTGCTCGTGTGTGTCTGTGTGTATAGGTGTGTGTAATAGGTGTGTGTGTGTATAGGTGTGTGTGTGTGCTCGTGTGTGTGCTCGTGTGTGTCTGTGTGTATAGGTGTGTGTATAGGTGTGTGTATATACATATATATATAGGTGTGTACAGGTGTGTGTATAGGTGTGTGTGTGTGCTCGTGTGTGTGCTCGTGTGTGTGTGTGTCTGTGTGTATAGGTGGTGTATAGGTGTGTGTATATAGGTGTGTGTGTATAGGTGTGTGTATAGGTGTGTGTGTGTATAGGTGTGTGTGTATAGGTGTGTATAGGTGTGTGTATAGGTGTGGGTGTGTGCTTGTGTGTATAGGTGTGTGTATAGGTGTGTGTGTGTGTGTGTGGGTGTATAGGTGTGTGTATAGGTGTGTGTATAGGTGTGTGTGTGTGTGTGTGTGTGTGTGTGTGTCTGTGTGTATAGGTGTGTGTATAGGTGTGTGCATAGGTGTGTGTATAGGTGTTTGCGTGAGTGTGTGTATAGATTTGTGTGTATGTAGGTGTGTGTATAGGTGTGTGTGTGCATAGGTGTGTGCATGTGCTTGTGTGTGTATAGGTGTGTGTATAGGTGCGTGTATAGGTGTGTGTGTATATGGGTGTATAGGTGTGTGTATAGGTGTGTGTGTATAGGTGTGTATAGGTGTGTGTCTGTGTATAGGTGTGTATAGGTGTGTATAGGTGTGTGTGTATAGGTGTGTATAGGTGTGTGTGTGTGTGTGCGTGTGTGTGTGTGTGTGTGCTCGTGTGTGTGTCTGCGTGTATAGGTGTGTGTATAGGTGTGTGTGTGCATAGGTGTGTGTGTGTGTGCTTGTGTGTAGGTGTGTGTGTGGATAGGTGTGTGTGTATAGGTGTGTGTATAGGTGTGTGTATAGGTGTGTCTATCTAGGTGCACAGGTGTGTGTATATAGGTGTATAGGTGCATAGGTGTGTGTATAGGTGTGTGTATAGGTGTGTGTATAGGTGTATAGGTGTGTGTATAGTGTGTATAGGTGCTTGTGTGTGTCTGTGTATAGATGTGTGTATCTAGGTGTGTGTGTGTATAGGTGTGTATGTATAGGTGTGTGTGTGCGTGTGTGTGCGTGTGTATGTATAGGTATGTGTGTGTGTGTGCTTGTGTGTAGGTGTGTGTATAGGTGTGTTTGTATAGGTGTGTGTATAGGTGTGTGTTTAGGTGTGTGTATATAGGTGTGTGTGTGCTTGTGTCCATAGGTGTGTGTGTGTATAGGTCTGTGTCTGTGTATAGGTGTGTGTGTGTGTGTGAATCTAGGTGTGTGTATAAGTGTGTGTATAGGTGTGTATGTATAGGTGTGTGTGTGTGTGTGTGTGTGCGTGTGTGTGTGTGTGTATGTGCGGGGGTGGGGGAGGCGACAGGGAGGAGTTACCTAAACTGAGACGGAGGAGGAGGAGGTTTGGCGGAGGAGGGCGGGGAGGAAGGAGGAGGAGGAGGAAGAGGAGGAGGACGAGACGGGGGAAGGAGGAGGGAGGAATGAGGAGGAGGAGGAGGAGGATGGGAGGAAGGAGGAAAGAGGAGGAAAGAGGAAGGAGGAAAGAGGAAGGAGGAAGGAGGAAGGAGGAAGGAGGAAGGAGGAAGGAGGAGGAGGAGGAGAGGGTAGAGAAGGAGAACGAGGGAGGGTCGAGGAGGAGGAGGAGGAGGACGAGGGAGGGCAGAGAAGGAGAACGAGGGAGGGTCGAGGATGAGGAGGACGAGGGAGGAGGGTAGGAGGAGGAGGAGGCAGGGCGGAGGATGCGCACGGCGAGGCCCACGCCAAGCGGCTGTGGGAGGCGGCGTCCGAGTGCGCCATGGAGGACCCGCGGCTGGCGAAGCAGGCCATGCGGTACATGGAGCGCGGCGAGGCTCTGGACCCCGAGGCGGAGGACCGGGGGCGTCCTTCTGTCAGGAGGGGAACAAAACACACAGACACAATTAACCGTCGATGCCCCAGAACATGTGGGAATATATTTGAAGTGGGGGGGAAGACAAAAAGCCAGAACATATGGCAATAGATGGGGAATCCTTTTATTGGTGTGTATTTATTTGTGTGTCCTTAGGCCCCCTTCATTCTGGGCCTGCGTCGGGCCTGTCCCTCGACAGGCGGGATATGCAAGAAGAGTGAGAAACACACAGCCCGGGGACGACGCGTCGTGCTCTCTTCCTTCTTGTTGCGCATGCTTTGGCTATTTCTGCTTTCTTCCAAACTCCGCCTGCACAGTCGGGGCCCTGAAGAAGGAACCCTTTTCGTTGGGGAGGGGGCTCCGTGCTCCTTGATTGCTTCACAGTGTGCCTTGGGTTTTGCTTTGGTTTTCGATGGGAAACCGAGGTCCAACTTGCGGATCTAAGGGGCCTCGTTCCTTATCTAGGGTTCCTTGGGTCAACGCTCCGACTGTAGGAGGCCATGCCCGACCTGATTCTAGGCCTCCCAGGTGAGGTCCGAGCAGATGGGGTCGGTGGATCGCGTCACACCGCCGATGCATCGGCGATCTCTCCACGTCGACGGCGCCGATGCGTCGCCAATGCATCGGCGATGCGGAGTGATCCTCCGACCACGTCTGCTCGGACCCCTATCCGGGAGGCCTCCAGTTCAACCCAAACCCTCACGCCCCTCGTCGCGTCGGGGGCGAAATTCACGACGGGAGGTTTGTGCTGATTGTCGGCCCCTCGGTGCCCTCACTGGGCCCTGAGGCCGTCACACAACGGCTCGGGATGATTGGCCGGACCCCAGGAAGGGGTCCAGACTTAGTTTTTCATGTATGTATACATTCGAATACAACATGATCCGATACATATGTATGTATATATATATATATATATATATATATATATATATCTAAGCTGTAAAGATATATTTGGTGCTCTCTGTACGTTGCAAACAAAGACGTCGGAGTTCTTGGAGGATCGGGGGCGTCCAGGAGGGGGGAGAAGAGTAATATTTTCATGAAGACTAAGAATATCACGAAGAATAATGAGCACTTCGAAAGCTGATGCGGCCCCCTCCCTGCGGCTCTCGAGAGGGATGTGTGGCCGCAGCCGTCTCTTTGCCAGCCTGCGCCCGGGGCAGGCCTTGCTCCGGGCCGTGCCCACCAAAGGGTGTGCCGCGAGCGGGGGCCGCCGTGCAGCGCCACCCGCTCTGGTGTGCCCCGTGTGTGATCACCAGGCTCGAACTGATCCCTATCCCTGAGATTGACACGCCGAACGGCGATGGCAATCTTTAGGGATGCGCCCTCAAAAACTGAGGGAATCCCAAAGATTGGCATCGTGATAGGGGCGGTGCCCAGCATAGGGATAGGGATATGTTCCGGGCTGGTAGTGTGTGGCGCGGGCCGTCGGCTCTGCCGTCGCGCTCGCATCCGCCAGCGCTGCCACCGCACGGGGGGGCCCGGCCCGATCCCGAAAGGGAAAGCGTCGGCGTGGACATCGCGTTTTGGAGGCCCGCGCGGACTCCTCGGATCGGCTCTGGGCCCCTCCTGGCTGCGCCCCTGTTGCGGCGCGCCCCGCGCGCAAGGGCGGACGGGGGGGCAGTGCTGATCCAGATTGTGGAGATCCGCGCGGGCCTTCTGAGAAGGCCCGCGCGGACCTCCAGAAGTTGACGCTCTTGCCGAGGCTTGAGACGTGGGTCAATGCAAACGGGGGTCAGCCAGAGCGCCCGATCTTGCAGGATCCTGCACGGCCAGGGTCGCATTGACCCGGGTTTGGGTGCAGGATCCTGCAGAATCTTGCGGGTTCCCTTATCATTGACCCGAGCTTGGGTGCAGGATTTTGCAGGATCTTGCAAGGCCTGATTGACCCAGGTCTGGATTGACGCGGGTCATCAGATCCCCGAGCGTGAGGGGGCAGGCCTTTTCCGAAGGCGGCGGTTTCCGAGGGAGGCGGGGCTTCTCAGGAGCCTTCGCGCCTTCCGAAAAGTTGTTTCTGCGTCATCGGGAACTGCTTGGAGCACTTCTCAGAAGCCTGGAGGCTTTCCGAGGCTTCTGAGAAGGCCAACCCCCTCTGACTTCCCCCCTGGGCTCACCGCCGGCTCTTCCCATGTTCCGAGCCCTCTGGCACGATGGGGAAATTAGCGCGTATCCATGCTGCAGAGGCAGCCCTTAGTGTTGCTAAGCCTCGAGGATCAGCCGACTGTGGCATGCCGACTCGAGGATAGACCCCCCCAAAGGGGGAACTCGGACGGACCCCTACATATTGTATCGAGGATGGTCGCCCCCTTCATGCCCAGTCGAAAGCGCGTTATGGTCGAAATCTCGACTTGCCCCGGGCCCATCCCGCCACCGTGCCTGTCTCGGGGCCCTCGGGACCCCCTTCGGGGCGCTCTTGGCTCCGCAAGCGTCCTGCGGGAAGCACAGGGAAGCCGCGGGAGGCTCCCCTGGGACCCCCGGACTTCCTTGTCTGAGTTTGGGCCCCCCGCTCACTGCTGCGCAGCCCCTGAGGACCGAGAACCCGAGGACTGCAAAGGGGCCCGAAGGCACTCCCGCGTGCGCCCCGCGTGGCACGGGGGCGGGCCCCTGGTCGCGTGGTGCTCGGCGCGCCGCCCGCGAGGACGAGGAGGAGGCCGAGGTGGCGGCGGGTGCGGCGGAGGAGGCGGCCGAGGCGCAGGGGCCGGCGGGCGGCGGGGACGACCTGCTCCTCCGCGGCGTGCCCCCGGCGGTGCGGCTGGAGCCCGGGGGGCTCCGAAGAAGCGGGCGGGGGGGCGGAGGGAGGGGGTCGAGCAGTGGCGAAGCGTCGCGGTGTGCCTGTAGGGCGGGGGGCGGAGGGCGGGAGGCGGAGGGCGGAGGGCTCCGAAGAAGCGGGCGGGGGGCGGGGGGCGGAGGGAGGGAGGGGGTCGAGCAGTGGCGAAGCGTGGCGGTGTGCCTGTAGGCCTACCAAGCAATGCTCTCTCAGAGCCGTTCGTGGTCTGCACGGAGTGTTCTCAGGACATGTCTGGCCGGGGCTGCCTTGTTTCGTTCTTATGATTCGAGCACTTTCGGGTTCCACGAACATGTCGTGGTAGGCCTATAGAAATGCCAGGACGGTCGGTCCCTGCTCAAAGGGGAGGGGGCCAGACATCCAGCATCTCGAAAGGATCAAGACAACGGTATTCATAGTCTTCGGTCTCTGGCAGCCCCTGCTGTGCCTCGGGACTGGATGAAAAGCCCGTCCTGGGGAAGTGGTCGAGAGTCCGGGGGTATGTTGTCCAGGATGTCTGGGAGGGGGGGGAAGTGGGCAGCAGCAGCAGCAGGAGGAGCGGGGAGGAGCACCAGCAGAAGGGAAGATGAAGGCGGAGGCGGAGGAGGAGGAGGAGGAGGAGGAGGAGGAGGAGGAGGAGGAGGTGGAGGGTCGAGGAGGAGGAGGAGGAGGAGGAGAGGAGGAGGAGGAGGGAGGAGGGAGGAGAAGGGAGGGCGGAGGGCGGAGGGCGGAGGGGAGGGCGGAGGGGGGAGGGAGGAGGAGGAGGGAGGAGGAGAGAGGAGGAAGAGGAGGAGGAGGAGGAGGAGGAGGAGGAGAGGAGGAGGGGAGGGCGGAGGGCGGAGGCGGAGGGCGGAGGGCGGAGCGAGGAGGGAGGAGGGAGGAGGGAGGAGAGTGGATGGAGGAAGAGGAGGAAGAGGAGGAGGAGGAGGAGGAGGAGGAGGAGGAGGAGGAAAAGGAGAAGGAGAACGAGGAGGAGGCGAACGAGGAGGAGGAGGAGAACGAGGAGGAGGAGGAGGAAGAGGAGGGCTGAGGAGAGGAGGGCTGAGGGAAGAGGAGGGCCGGGAGGAGGATCGGAAGTAGGCGGGCAAACTTTGGGGGGGGGGAGGAGAGGGGGGGAGGAGGCTTGGCTGGGATGGTCTGAGTCGCGCGGAGATCAGGCTCTCTTCCCCTTCCCGTGGCTGCCCCCAGCATCGGGCCCCACCGCCTGGCCTGCCGCCGCCGGCCCCCTCCGGACCATCTCGAGGCTGGCTCGAGGTCCGAGGACCGCTCGCGGCGTGCCCGCAGCCCCATACGCACGGCGGTTGTGCTCGTGTGTTTCGCCACGCGGACCCCCCCAGAGCATCTGCGGCCAGAAGTTCTCGGCAACGGAGCTCGATCGCGCGCAATTCCGGTGGCGACCAGAGGCGGGTCGAGTTTCGGGAATGCACAGACGGTGCGTGGGGGTCCAAGCGAGGATCTCGACGACGTCGACGACGTCGACGTCGTTGGAGGAGACCGCGCGCAGAGGCCGAGCTTCGCTCGCGGCCTCTCCGTCTGGAGCTCGACCTGGAATCTTTGGCAGCATCATGCTGTGGGCCTGCACGTGCGGACCTCTTCTGGAGGAACGTGAGCTTCGAGTAAGCCGGAACTCGGGCTTGCCGACGGTTTTTTCGTTGACGAGTGCGTCCTGGATTTTGACGGTCCAGGTTTCGTGGGATGCTTGCAGCGGGAGCTCGCGTCAAATGTCAGGTCGGGCCTCGTCATCTTTACGATGGCACCGTCAGGCCAACCCGAGCCCCTCGTACCCGAGTCTTCCATCTCCCCGACTCTTCCCGTGATGGGCTGGTTGTTCCTTCCTGGCTGTTGCTTCGAGGTCGTGCGGCTCCGGCGAGGGCCCCGAGAGGCCGCACGGTTCCGAAGACCACCCGTGGCGTTTTGGCAGCGCCGCGGGGAGGTCTGAGGGCGGCAGCGCCAGGCGCCCCCCCCCCTGAGAGATCCGACGGCGAGGATACCTTGCAACCTCGTGTTAAAGTACGGCTGGAGCAACTGATGCATCAACATCGTCGTCATCATCACCATCATAAGAATCGTCATCATCATCATTATCATCATCATCATCAGCATCATCATCGTTATCATCATCATCATCATCATCATCATCATCATCATCATCATTATCATTATCATTATCAGTATCATTATCATTATCATTATCATTATCATCATACTCAGAATCTTCTTGATCATTATCATAATCAGCATTATCATTGCCATCAGCATCAGCAGGAGCAGCATCAGCATCAGCATCATAAGCATCAGCAGCATCAGCAGCATCAGCAACATCATCATCATCATCGCCATCTTCATCGTCATTGCCACCGTCATCTTCATCGCCTTCGTCGCTATCATCATCATCATCACTATCATCATCATCATCATCATCATCATCATCATCATCATCATCATCATCATCATCATCACTATCATCATCCCCATCATCAGCATTAGCGCCATCATCACCATCATCATCATCATCATCATCAGTAGCAGCATCATCACATTTCTCATCATCATGATCAGCATCATCATCATCATCATCATCCTCATCCTCATCATCATCATCATCGTTCTCATCATCATCGTTATCATCATCATCGTTATCATCATCATCATCATCATCATCATCATCATCATCATCATCATCATCATCATCATCATCATCATCATCATCTTCATCTTCATCTTCATCTTCATCTTCATCTTCATCTTCATCTTCATCTTCATCTTCATCATCAGCCCCATCGTTCTGCTGCAGTTCTGCATTTTTCGAGCTGGTGAGCGCCCTGGGGCCGAAACCGGACGAAGACGTCAGGTGTGCAAAAAGTGCGACGTTGGGATCTCTGGACATTCTGGGCTGACCCCCCCCCTTTCTTCCCTGCCGCACGTGCCAGGACGAGTCTTTCCCTCCTGAGTGGTGTTCTTCCACGGTCCCGTATCCCTACGAGGGCCCCCAGACGTTGAACATAGCGATAAGTTGTTCGCCGTGATTGGTCCATGCTTCGAGGAGGTCTGGATTGGAAGACGGAAAAACGCCATACACATAATCTTTTGGCGCTCCGCGCAGATCTCTTGGAACGGAAAAACGCCATACACATAATCTTTTGGCGCTCCGCGCGGATCTCTTGGATCCGCGCTGGGCCCACCCCCACACCCTGGCGGCGCCTTTGGCGCCGCCCCTGGCGCGCCCCGCACGCCAGGGAGGGGGGTCCAGCGCAGATCCAAGAAATCGGCGCGGAGCGCTACAACTTTATGTTTATGCGTTTCTTCTGCTTCTGGTGGTTGGTCTCCTGGCTCGAGGAGTTCTGGATTGGAGGTCTGGGAGCCTCGAGCCCTCCTCGGCCAGATCGACGCTCGCCGCCCCGCCCCCGAGATCCGGTCGAAGGCCGCCAGGAGCCAGAGGAGGAAGAAGAGGAGGAGGAGGAGGAGGAGCAGGAGCAGGAGCAGGAGCAGGAGCAGGATCAGGAGGAAGAGGAAGAGGAGGAGGAGGATGGATGGCGGAGGAGGAGGAGGAGGAGGAGGAGATGGAGGATGAGGGTGAGGAGGAGGATGAGGATGGAGGAGGAGGAAGAGGAGGATGGAGATGAGGATGGAGGGGAGGAGGAGGAGGAGAGGAGAGGAGGAGGAGGAGGAGGAGGAGGAGGAGAGGAGGAGGAGGAGGGAGGAGGAGGGAGGAGGGAGGAGGAGGGGAGGAGGAGAGGAGGAGGAGGGAGGAGGAAGAGGAGGGAGGTGGTGAGGAGGGAGGAGGAGGAGGGAGGAGGGAGGAGGAGGAGGAGGAGTAGGAGGAGGAGGAGGAGGAGGAGGAGGGAGGAGGAGGAGGTGGGAGGAGGGAGGAGGGGGAGGAGGGAGGAGGAGGAGGTCTGGCTTGCAGGTCTGGGCGCCTCGAGCCCTTCTCGGCCCGATCGACGCTCTCGCCGCCCCGCCCTCGCTCGAGGACTTCGTCGCCGTCGTCGTCTTCGTCGTCGTCGAGGACTGCGTCGTCGTCGTCGTCGTCGAGGACTTCGTCTTCGTCGTCGTCGTCGTTGTCGAGGACTTCGTCGCGTCGGCTTCGTCGTCGTCGTCGTCGGCTTCGTCGTCGTCGTCGTCGTCGTCGTCGTCGTCGGCTTCGTCGTCGTCGTCGTCGCCGCCCTCGTCGCCCGAGGACTTCGAGCGGCTGGCGGCCGAGCTGAGCGTGCCGCCCGCGGAGGCCCTCGCGGGCCTGCTGCGGGCGGCGCGCGGCGGGGGCGCCGGCGCCGGCGGCCTGCCGCGCGCGGCCCCGGGGCCGCCTGCGGCGGCCGCGCGCGAGGCGGGGGACTTCCTCCTCCTCCTCCTCCTCCTCCTCCTCCTCCTCCTCCTCCTCCTCCTCCTCTCCTCCTCCTCCTCCTCCCCCGTGTTCTTATCTTGGTATCGCTCGGACGTGTGCACTTTGTCTCGGCGGGGACTATCAAGGAGCATCCTGGATCATCCTGCGAAAAGGCCACGCACGAAACCGAACAAAAAGCACAGGGAGTGGGCGTCCGAGCGATGGCCAGGGAATGAATCAGAGGAGGAAAAGGCACCCATACCTCTACCCTTCGCTCGTTTTCCTCTTTTCTGGGCCTCCTGGGCGGCCCTCGCCGCCACCGCTGGATTCGCCTCGAAATTCTGGTCAGGAGGCACCCCAGGAGAGGTCCGTGGAGTAGCGGTATCGGTACTTTATGGTTTCCCCCAATGAACCTCACGACGGAAGTTTTTCTTCGTTCTTTTCGGCCTCTGGGGGCCCTTCCCGGGCCTCAGGACCGTCAACGAGCGACCCAGGAGGAAAAGCCGGTCCCGGGGAAGGGGTCGAGACCTCGGGGGGTCGACGAAGACAGACCGCTACAAGCATAAACTTATGACGTTCCGCGCGCTCGGATCCGCGCAGGGCCTCTCCCGGCGGCGCCTCCGGCGCCGCCCCTGGCGCGCTCCGCGCGCCAGGGAGGAGGGGCCAGCGCGAAGCCAAGACATCCGCACGGAGCGCCAAATGGCGTATTTCTTCTTGTCATTTTGTTGCCCACATGACCACCCCAGGCATCGGGCGTCTCGAAAAGGTCGGGACGGAGGTGCGTCATCGTTTTCGGCCTCTGGGGGCCCTCTCTCCGGGCCTCGGGACCATCGAGGAACGGCTCGGGAGGAAGAGCTGGTCCTGGGGGAGTGAACGAGGGCCCTGGGGCTTGTCTCCAAGAAATGACGAGGCGCTGGATGTTTGGGTAGCCATCGCTTCGGGATGTCGAGTTTCGGGCACCTCCAACTACCTCGTTATCCTCGCACTCCTTGACGAGAGGATGAGGACAGATGAGAAGAGCTGGTCGGGGGCGTACGCGAGAGCAGGAGGGGATGTCAAGAAGGCATGGGTAGAAGGTGAGAGGAAGGGCTGACCACCGCCGCCGACCCATCCCCCCCGCGGCCAGCCCGCGCACCGGTTGAGATAGAGGGCTGCAGTGGCCGCCCCAGGTTGGCATGGTGGCCTGCCGCCGCCACGAGCAGCACGGGCGGGCGGAGAAGCCGGCGCAACGCCGTGGGCGCGGAGGGCGCACAGAGCAGCGGGCGGCAGGCTCTTCTGCTGACTCGAGGGAGGCATCCGAGCGCGCAGGGCTGGCCTGTTGCCGCAGGGCTGCGTCGGGTGCGGCCCCGATGGCCTGAGGCTCACGGGTCTGCCCTTGACGCCATCGGCCCACCACGCATTGACCGTCCCGCCCGCCACCAGCACCTCCATGCAGGCCGCACGCTCCCGCCCGGAAGAGCCTCATCAGCACGAGGAGGAGGAGCAGGAAGAAGTACGAGCTTTCCACCGCGCCGCTCGAACAGATAGAAGAGCGTGTCGCCCTGAGCGACTCCAGGCTCGCGAAAGGCCGCTAGGCCAAAGCCGCGAGGCCTGATTCGCCATTAGGCTTGTGGGCGAAAGTCGTGAAGCTTCCACCGCCTCCTCGAACAGCACGCGCAGGCTGGGAGGGAGGCTTCTGACAGTCCACCCCCAATCCCCCCAAACTGATCTGCATCCCCCCCGCCTCCTGCCTCTTCCGCAGACGCATGCCTGCAGAAAGCTCTGCCACGTGGGTAGCTCGAGACGGCCGCGTCGCAAGCATCAACACGAGGGCGTCGCCGGCACTCGACAGACCTGAAGTCCGATGCCACGATCTTCACCGAGCGCCTTGCGCTACGCGCAAGGCGCCTACTCGCAAACGTCCAAGAGCATGCCTTCCTCCATGTCATGGATCGTGAATCCCCCTGGGCGAATCTGGGCCATTTGCGCGTGAGTGCTTTGCGAGTCGTGGAACGCGTGTGTCTAGATTTGGCCGTGACGTTCACGCCTGTGCTTCCTTCACGGCAGGACTTGCCCGCAGCGTGGGCCACGAGGGCTCTCGAATGGCTGGTACCAGCACCGAGGCGCGCCGGCGGCCGTGCCCACGGCGCCGGGGCAGACACTGGGTTCAAGAGTAGGCAAAAAGTAGTCTGGCGACGGGGTGTCGACTCTTTTTGAGCATTCCTGAATATATTTCCCAACCAGCCTGTGGTGTTGGGTCCTCGCTTCGAACAGACGGCGCCCCGCGTGCCTCCTTTGTTCCTTCCTCCTCCCCCTCCTCCCTCCGCCGATAATCATGATTATGATCATCATCATCATCATCAGCAGCAGCAGCAGCATCTTCATCATCGTCATCATCATCATCGTCGTCGTCGTCGTCCTACACCTCCTCATCATCAGCATCGTCGTCGTCATCACCATCATTATTATCAACATTATCATCATGAGCATCATCATCATCATCATCATCAGCATCATCATCATCACCATCGCCATTCATCACTCATCATCATCATCATTATCATCATCAATATCATCATCATCATCATCATCATCATCATCATCATCATCATCATCATCATCATCATCATCATCATCATCATCATCATCATCACTATCATCACCATAATCATCATCAGCATCTCATCATCGTCGTCGTCATCATCGCCATCACCCCTCACACGCTCCGTGGCCCCACAGGGAGCTCCACCGAAGGCCTCAGTGGCCGCGTCTGCATGCGCCCTCCCCGCCTACCGCATGTCCATCTGGCATGCCTCTCACACGGTTCGTGGCCCCATAGGGTGTTCCAACGAAGGTGTCAGTGGCCGTGTCCGCGTGTGCATGCGCCCTCCCCGCCCACCGCATGCCCATTTCGGCACACCCATCACGCAGTTCGTGGCCCCATCGGGTGCTCAACCGAAGGCCCCAGTGGCCCCGTCCGCATGCGCCCTCCCCGCCCACCGCATGCTCATTTCGGCACACCCCTCACACAGTTCGTGGCCCCATATGGAGCGTCCTCCCCGCACACCGCCTGCCCGTTCTGGCACACCCCTTACACGGTTCATGGCCCCATAGGGAGTTTCACCGAAGGCCCCAGTGGCCGCGTCCGCATGCGTCTCCCCCGCCCACCGCATGCCCATGTTGGCACACCCTCACACAGTTCGTGACCACATAAGAAGGCCCCAGTGGCCGCCTCCGCATGCGCCTTCCCCGCCCACCGCATGCCCATTTCGGCACACCTTTCACACGGCTCGTGGCCCCATAGGGAGCTCCACCGAAGGCCTCAGTGGCCGCGTCCGCATGCGCCTTCCCCGCCCACCGCAAGTTCATTTCGGCACACCCCTCACACGGTTCGTGGCCACATAGGGAGCTCCACCGAAGGCCCCAGTGGCCGCGTCCGCATGCGCCCTTCCCGCCCATCGCATGCCCATTTCGGCACACCCTTCACACGCTTCGTGGCCTCATAGGGAGCTCCACCGAAGGCTCCAGTGGGAGGGTTCGCATGGCACCACCGCGCCCAATTCGGCGCATCCCTCACACGGCGCGTGGCTCAATAGGGAGTTCCACCGAAGGCTCCAGCGCGAGGTTTCGCATGCGCCCTCCGCGCCCAACCTGACACACCCCTTACACTGTTCGTTGTCCCATAGGGAGCTCCGCCGAAGGCTCAAGTGGGAGGGTTCGCATGGCACCACCGCACACAATTCGGTACACCCCCTCATACGTCTCGTGGCACCAGAGGGTGTTCCACCGAAGGCTCCAGAGGGGGGTTCGCGTGGCACCACCGCGCCCAATTCGGCACGTCCCTCACACGGTTCGTGGCCCAATATGGAGTTCCACCGAGAGCGGCACCCACAATGCGGCATTCGCAGTTGCATATGGTTGGGTCTTTCGTCAGGCTAATGTTTGATTGTTGATTATCGTTTGTCCAAAAGCCGCTTGTAGGACGACATGCCCGACCCATTCCTTGTGAGACACGGCAAGTCCATACGCAGCATCCTCGGAGCCAAGGGTACAATCATCCTCGGATATCCTCGGAGCCCGCCGAAGACCACAGTGCGAAGGCAGGAGCAAAGGCTAATAGATGTGGCCTCCTACTCCTCCCTCTCGCCCTCTTGATCCTCGATCCTGCTCCTGCTCCGCGTCCCACTGCTCATCCGCCTGCTCCTGGTAGGAGGGGTCGGAAGGGGACAGGAGAGAGAGGAGGAGAGGGAGGGTAGAGGAGGAGGAGGAGGAGCAGGAGGAGGAGCAGGACCAATGCAGACCCAAGACACACCAAGGATGTGGCAAACATCCCTCCCTCCAAGTTCCCTCTTATGGGTCCCTAACAGAAGTTTGCATTCATTGCGGGAAGGAGGACCAGTGCAAACCCAAGACGCATGAACGATGTTGCAATAAACCCTCCCTCCAATACGTTCTCCCTTCGTAGGTCCCTACAATATTTGTTTTTTTCCTTGCGGGAAGTTCCACACTGGAAAGCACCCGTTTGATCAATTTTTCTCACGTCAAAACGCAATCGGTGGGCCTTTAGCGCCGCGAATCAACGCCACTGTTGCGCCCCGATGCCCCTCAATCTTGTCAGAACGCCATTCCTGTGATTTTCACGCAGAGGCTCAGCGCGACTGTTGTGTCCTGACAAGGCGAGAGCCTAATAAGGATCCGCCGCCCATCCGTGAAACTGTTGCACCTCTCAAGCTTCAGCATCCTCAAGGGTGAGGAAGTCTCAGGCGAAACGTACGGCCCGCCCGACCGACACGTCTAGGTGTGTTACAGAGAAGTGGCATGTAGAATGAGAATTGATGGTGGAGAGGGAGGAGGAGGAGGAGGAGGAGGAGGAGGAGGAGGAGGAGGAGGAGGAGGAGGAGGAGACGGAGACGGAGACGGAGACGGAGACGGAGACGGAGACGGAGACGGAGACGGAGACGGAGACGGAGACGGAGACGGAGGAGGAGGAGGAGGAGGAGGAGGAGGAGAGGAGGAGGAGGAGGAGGAGGAGGAGGAGGAGGAGGGGAGGGGGGTTGGACGAGGAGGAGGAGGAGGAGGCGGAGATGGCCGAGAGGAGGATGAGGAAGAGGAGGAGGCGGAGATGCGAGGAGGAAGGAGGCTTGCTTGGAGGAGGCGGAGGAGGAGGAGGAGGAGGAGGAGGAGGGAGGAGAGGAGGAGGAGGAGAGGATGAGGGGAGGAGGAGGAGGAGGAGGAGAGGGAGGAGGAGGAGGAAGGAGGAGGAGGAGGAGGAGGAGGAGGAGGAGGGGAGAGGGAGGAGGAGGAGGAGGAGGAGGGATGAGGAGGAGGAGGAGGAGGAGGAGGAGGAGGAGGAGGAGGAGGAGGAGGAGGAGAGGAGGTGGAGGTGGAGGGGGGAGAGATGGGAAGAGACGGAGACGGGAGGAGGAGAGGAGGAGGAGGGGAGGAGGAGGAGGAGGAGGAGGAGGAGGATGGAGGAGGAGGAGGAGGAGGAGGAGGAGGAGGAGGAGGAGGAGGAGGAGGAGGAGGAGCCACAGGAGGCAGGACAAGCCTCACCGGCCGCTCCTCTCGCGCCTCCGCGGGGCAGGGCAGGCCACCCGGCTCGGCTTCGAGGTCGTCTGGGAGGCGGAGCGGCCCTCGGTGGGCCGGGTGGCCGCCGGCTCGCAGGCCGAACGGAGTGGCGTCCGCAGCGGCGACGTCCTCGTGTCCAGCGCGGCGGCGCGCCAGAGAGAGGGGTGGGGGGGGCAGGGCGCAAGGACCGCCACGACGCCAACACCGGGTCCCGAGCGGAGCGGGTCCTGCGAGGTGGTCGTCCTTCGCGGGCTCGCCCAGGGGTTCTGTTCGCTCCGGGCGTCCGCGCCCAGGTTAATGCCCCATGGCCCTCGGAGGTGGTCGATGCGCCTCGTGAACTGGTGTCGGAAGGTGGGGCAGGGCGCAAGGATGGCACCCTTGTGGCAAGCACAGGGCGCGGCGGATCGAAGGCGCCCAAGCCGAATCACCGCCGCCCCCCTGCCTTTTTGGAAGCGCCCGTGTGGCCGAACGTTGCGGCCAGAGCTCGGCCAAGCTGTCGGACTGCATGTTCCCCAGCAGTTCTGGAAGGCCTTCGGGGAGCACGTGGGGGAGAAAGAAGAAGAGGAGGAGGAAGAGGAAACAGCAGGAGGAGGAGGCCTCTTGGGAGCCTCTTGGGGCCACCATCGCAGCTTGCTGGGGGCCTCTCGGAGGCATCTCGGGGGCTTCCTTTGACCTCTTGGAGACCTTTGGCCGTGTGAAACTGTTCCTGGCCCGTCTGACGCCGTCAGAAGCCGTCTTGGGACCTCTCTGAACCTGCTCGGGACCCTGTGTGGGCGCTTCAGGGCCGTCTTGGAAGCCTCTTGAGCAATCGTGGGGCTGTCTCGGAGTCCTTTTGGGCAATCTTGGGGCGATCTGGCGGCCTCTGTGTCCGTCTTGGAGATCTCTTGTGGCCGACTTGGGCCGTATTCGGCGGATTTGGAGGCATCTTGGACCCTCTTTGGCTTGGCTGTCTTGGAGGCAATCTTGGACCATTTTGGGCGATCTTTGATGCCATGTTAGGCCATTGTGGCCGTCTTGGAAGCAGGGCTGTCTTGGGCGGGAAAAGCCGCGATAGGTAGATGTTTCGGGTTGCCGGCGGGCTGGGCCGAGACCCCCTTGAGAGTTCTTCCGAAAAGGATTAGAACCCCTCAGAAATCTGCCACGCTGTGCACCCCTGTGATGGATCACCAGGGGGCGGATCGAAGACGCCTACGGCGAATCACTGCCGCCCCCTGCCTTTGGGATACGCCTAGGTGGCCAAACAGCTGGGCAAAGCTTGGCCACGCTATTAGGCCATGCGCTCTTTGTGGAAGAGGAGGATGAGGAGAAGGAGGAACAATGAGGATTAGGAGAAGGATGAGATGACCTCTTGGGAGTTTCTTGGCTTATTCTTTGGGCCTCCTGGGAGCTTCCTGGAAATTGGATGCCTCTTGGGGGCCTCCTTGGCCTCTTGGGGGCCTTTGGGGGCTTCTTGGGGCTTCTTTGGCCGCCTTGCAGCGTTCCTGGCCCGTCTGGCGCTGTCGGAAGCCGTCTTGGGAGCCTATCTGGATTGTCTGGGGGCCCTCTTGGGGTGCTTTAGGGTCGTCTTGAAGACCATCTTGAGCGTCTTGGAGGCCTCTTGGGGCTGTCTTTGGGCTCTTTGGGGGCCGTCTTGGGAGCCTCTTTGGCTGTCCTGGGGCCAGCTTGGAGGCACCTTGGGCGGTCTTGGGGGCCTCTTGGGCCGTGTTGGGCCGTCGGAAGGCCGTTCTGAAGCGAGTGTCAACACATTTAAAACACCGAGCTACAATCCATGATGTTGGCATGTTCTGGCACTCCTGGAGGACCTCTTGGATGCCTCTTGGGCAATCTTAGGAGCCTCTCGGGCAGTCCTGGGCTCTCTAAGGGGCCATCTTGGAGGCCGTCTTGGCCGTCTTGGAGGCGTTTGTTTTTGCCGTCTGGGGGGCGTCTTGGAGGCCAGCTCTGGCCATCTTGGCCGTCTTAGGTGCGATTTGGCAACGGAAGATGTGGATTTTGGGGGGGAGCGCTTCGGGTGGCTGGCGGGATCGGCGGAGACCCCCCTGGGAGTTATATATATATATATATATATATATATATATATATATATATACATACATACATACATATACATCTATATATATATATATATATATATAATCGAAGGGATTGCAGACATTCAGCACGCCATACTCTGGAGGCCCATGCCAAGCAACACCCTGCTTGCCTCCAGGGTGCCCTGGATGTCTTCGGCCTTCTGGAGGCCTCCTGGGCGTATTCTTGGGGCCTCTGGGGGCTTCCTCGGGCCACCCTGCCTCCAACCACGGTCTCCCTGAACGACCGGGTCACGATTTGGAATGCTTCGGAGGGTGTCTTGGGGCCATCTTGGGCCGCCATGGGGCTCTCTGAGGGCCATCTTGGACCCGTGTTGTGCCGTTTGGGGGCTCTCTTGGACTGCCTGGAAGCCCTTTCGGATGGTTTTGTGGGGCGATTTTGGAGCCTCCCAGGTGGCTTCGGACGCCCAGAAGACCGCCGTCTTGGAGCGTCGGGAAGCCGAAAAGAGGAGAACCCCAAAATTCACCAAAAACTGTCAGAAAATCAATGATGTTTGCATCTTGGGAGTGCTCTTGGAGGCCTCTTTGGGGCCGTCCTGGAGGCCTCTTGGGCCATCTTGAGGTCACGTCGGTCACTCTTGGAGCGCTCTTGCGCTGTCATGGGGGTCTCTGAGACGTCTCCGATGACCCCCCTGATCGCCCTAGGTGTGCTGGGAAGGCTTGGCAAAACGCCCTGCGAGGCCAGGGGGGCCGCTTCGAGGCCCGTCCGGAGGGTCCCAAAGCCCCAGATCCCGGGAGTCCGGTTTTGGGGGGGGGGGGGGGGACGGGTTTCCCCCCCGCCCGGGCTTATAAAAATATAGGAAGAGGAATAAAATCGAAGGAGTGCAGACATTCAGCACGCCATACTCTGGAGGCCCATGCCAAGCAACACCCTGCTTGCCTCCAGGGTGCCCTGGATGTCTTCGGCTTCGACCCCGAGTCGCCCACCTTTCCTCGCGCAGCGCCCTCTCCCCCCCCTTCCTATCAAGTCGGGCATGCCCCTTTACAGGAAGAGTCTTCAAAAATAGACCATGATCTGGGGACGATTTCTCTACAATCTTGATCTGTTTTTGAATATGTTCCTCAATCTTTCATTTTTCTTCCAAAATCCACCTGTAGGAGGGCATGCCCGACCTAACCTTGCTAAACCTCGACGTCAGGAGTTTTTCATTACGTCGACACCCCGAGGGCTCGACCCATTCCCCAGGACCGGTCTTCATCCCGAGTCGTTTTTTGATGGTCCCGAGGCACGGGGAGGGCCCCAGAGGCTGAAACCGGACAAGAATCTTCCGCTCTGATTTTTTCTACGCTCGAGGGTGCCTGGCCCCCCCTTGATCGTGCCCCCCCTTGATCGTGCCCCCCTTATCGTGCCCCTGGCGCGCTCCGCGAGCCAGGGAGGGAAGATCAGCGCAGATCCACCGGAGCGCCGAGAGTTCTGTTTATGCAGTTTTGTTGTGTTCCTCTACCCTGTCTCCCCCCCGCCTCACGTGCTTCCCTCCCTTCCCCCCCATGCAGTGCAAACCCATGCCAAGAAGCTCCCTGCATGCCTCCAGGGTGCCCTGTGTTTCTTGGGTTCCGATGGTTTTGCTATGGAAGCGTGACGTTCCCACTCCAAAAAAATCAATGTGGACGTCGATGATGATTTGTTCATGACGTCGATCCCCGTCGTCATGATTTGTTCATGACGTCGACCCCCAGAGGCTTCGACCCATTCCCCTGGACCGGTTTTTCATCCGGGGCCGGTTTTTGACGGCCCTGAGGCCCGGCGAGGGCCCCAATGCAGAGGCCGGAAATTGCGAAAAGCCTGCCGTCGTGAGATTCTCATTCCTCGAGGGGGTCCGGGGAAAATGTGGAAGGTCTCTCGTGGTCGATCCCCTGCTCGAAGTCAGTAATGGAGGATGACGATTAATAAATGACCGGGGGTCGTGTTCACGCGGCGGCGCCCGGGATGACGATTAGAAAAAATTGGCCGCCGGCTGGAACAACTTTTTAAAAATCGTTCTCCTCCAATCAGAAATTTGTGCAGAAATAGCAGAAAACTATTTTTTAAATCGCTCTCTCCCATTTTTCTTGTTAATCGTCATCCCGCATTACCCCCCCTCCCCCCCTGGGGCGCGCCGCCGGCCGTCGGCGGCACCGAGACGCGGGGCGTGCCCCGCGAGCGCCTGGCGCCGCTGCTGCGGGGCGCGGAGCCGCTGGAGCTGCGGCTGCTCCGGCGCGCGGCGCCGCGGCGGTAGTATAGGCAGCGGCCGGGGCCGGCCGGGAGGTGAGGCTCGGGCCCGGCGAAAGGGGGGGATTGGGACAGAGGGGGTTATACGAAATTAAAACAGGGCTAGGATCGGGATAAATCGCTCCAGAGCGTTCCGGAGCGCTCTCAGAGTGTTCTGGAACGCTCTGGAGCGGCCGCGGCGCCCAATACATCCTCCAAACCAGCCGATTCTCAGAGATTTCGAGTTATCCCGATCCGATTTTGTCCCGATCTTCGCGTCGTTTTAGAAATTGTCTGCATGCAGCTGGTTTCGGCCTCACCGAGGGGCCCATCATTCCTCGATACATAGCCGCCTCTGGCGCCGGGAGGCGCCGGGGAAGCCAGCTGCGTGAGCTGATTCTCAAACCCCCCCTTTGCTATCCCCCCCTTTCGCCCGACCCGAAAGGCGGGCGGCCAAGAGGAATATTCAAAATTAGTGAGAACATCATGTTGGGACGATGTTTTGACCATTCTTGATTCTGTTCGAGCATGTGTTGGCATTGTTTTAATCTTTCCTTGAAGATCTGCCCGTAGGAGGACATGCCCGACCTACGCCAAGAGTCAAGATCGCAGAAACAAAACACGCCACAAGCATCAACTTTCTACGCTCCGCGCGGATTTCTAGGATCTGCGCTGGGCCCCCCCCGCGGCGCTGGAGGCGCCACCCATGGCGCGCTCCGCGCGCCAGGGAGGGGGCCCAGCGCAGATCCAAGAAATCCGCGCGGAGCGCCACAAGTTGTTGTTTATGTCGGTTTTTCTTTTTCTGCTCGGGTCATGAAAGAATCACGACGGGAGGCGTTTCGCTATTCTCGGCAACCGGGGGCCCTCCCCGAGCCTCGGGACCGTATACGAAGAACCGGTCGCGGGGGCTGGGTCGAGGCATCGGGGGGTCGACGCAAGTTAAAACAAGTATGGCGTTCGGGGTCCTGGGAGGCAGGACTCATTTCGATCCGATCGATCCGAGTCGAGACCGTTGCCAGCCAGCCCGAGCAGATTCGATTTAGGTGTTCCAGCGATCGGATGCGGCCCGATGCTTGCATGGCGTTGTTGTGCACCTTGGCGTGGCCGATTCGATCTGATTGGGACTCCTTGCCGGGCGCGGTCCGATTCGATGCCTGGTCCGACCCGATCCGATCTGTCGATTCGATGCTGACCGCTCCTGCCAAGAGGGGGTGTACCAGGAAGGGGCCATGGCCAGGGCCATGACCCCCCTGGTCGTGTTGGGTCATGACTACCCAGACATGCTCGCGTCGCACAAAAATCCGCAACGAATTGCTGATCCCGACCCCTGTCCAGGGGAAGCATCTGGCAGGCTGCACACAGTTTTTGTTTTGAGGCGCGCGTGCGGCCTTAGGTCAAACGCTGGCGCTCCTCGTTGGGGGAGGCTGGAACTCGCCAAACTAATGTTTTGTTTGCTTGGGGGTGGGGCCCGTCATATTGTTGGGGCGCGCGGAACAGAACAAGTTGTGCCCAGTCGCGATTGCGGATATGGCGTGCGACGTGGAAAGACATTGGGGATAGTTATTTACATGTTATTTCTCCGTAGTTTTGCCTCGCCAGAGGTTTCCTGGGGGCGCGCCAGGGCGCGACGAGTCTCGACGGGTGGGCGTTCGCAGGTATGTGGGGGCCAGAGGTTTGATGCTTTATGGAAAACTTGTTCAGTCCCTTTGGGTCAGGAACAGTTATCCCCAAACTACCCTTGGGGGCCGATCCGCTCGGGGTGAGTTCAGACGATTTGTGAGGTCCCCATTCCGGCAGCTTTCCTCTGGAAGGTTGTTGCGCGGGCTGGTCTCCTCCCGTTGCATGCACCCGCGCGCTCATTATCCGTTTTTCGTCTGTGCGGTAACCGTCCATATTTGTTCGGCAGACGAGTCCTTTGGCCCCACTTGTCTGTCAGCTGGTTGCAACGCGCGCGCCAATGTAATGACTCTTGACTCTTGGGCGAAGCGATCTCGCATTGCCAGATGTCGACCGCAATGTTGATGGAGCGGCTTTACCACCGTAGTGGAAAACAATGTTACCCGCGCTGGGCAAAACCATTCCCTGCACATGGAATGGGAGGAAACACTTCCCCAAAGGAAACAACCGGGAGGTTGTTGGTCGTTGTCGACCTCCAGGGGCCCTCGCCGGGCCCCAGGATCGCCCAAAAACGGTTCGGGATGAAAAACCGACCCCTGGGGATCCCGCGTTGAAGAACATCAAGACATCGCATGTTTGGGTAGTGCGGGATATCATGGCCAGAGCCATGCTAGCGTTAGAGGAACCAAAACCGTGCAACCAGCGTCGAGGAGCCACTTCGCATGACCTCTCTCCCCCCCTTTGGCCGTAATACCGAAGGAGCGTTTCAAGACCCAGCATCCTGACCGCAAGAATTACCAGAGTTTAAAGCGGTGGAAGGGGGAATCGTGTTCTCGGTTGTTCGGGCGTTATTGTTGAACCGTGTTTCCTTCAACCGTATCTCTCCAGATCTTATTGCCCCTTCTTCTTATTTTACTGCGTCCTCTGCCCCACTCCCCCCTGGGCTGCGCACATTGGCCATGATTTGCGACCCCTTTGGACGCCCGCCTCTTGGGCGCACCCTGATCGGGGCTCTTTGAGGCGGTGCTCGCAGAGAACAGCTGCAGAAACATACGCGTTTCGGAGGTCCGCGCGGATTTCTTGGATCTGCGCTGGGGCCCCCTGCGCGCGCCAGGGACGGAGCCCAGCGCCGATCCGAGAACTGCGCGCGGAACTCAGAGCAGGTACACCCTAGGCGATGCTTAAGAAAACCTAAGTTTTCGGCCAGAGTCTCGATTATTCTTAACGTTTCGATGTAGACCCTAAGATTTGAATAGACATTCTGGGTTTTTATTCAAATTCTGAGACTATGAATTTCTTAACCCATGATTTCTTAAGCACTTCGCGGGGTGTATGTTTGTGCAGCTTGCTTGCCTTCTCTTATCCAACTGCCTGCGGCACACCCCGCAACCGCGCCGATGCAGCAGCGCGGCAGGCAGGAGGCCGAGTGTAGGAGCAGAGCAGTTCCGACGACTGGTCTGAGCTGGGGCGGGTCGTGTGCTCGGCATCGTCATCGTCCGCGCGGCAGGGGAGACGTCGAGCTCACGCATCGCTGCACTTCAGCGAGCGGTCTGAGTTGAAGCGGGTCGTGGACTCGCCCTCATCTTCGTCCGCGCGGTAGGGAGGAACAGGAAGAGGAGCGGGAGAACATTCAGATCAGGAGGAGACAGCCTCTTAGGGACTCGCTCGAGGCCCCCTGCTACCTTCGACAAGCTTAATTTAGCTCAAGCATGTATCACGTAGTTTGCTGGTCGTGCGCGCAAGGTGCTTGTGGTGCTCCCTATCCAGTGTGGGTCATCGTAAAGCTTCGGAGTTGCAACCGTCCAGGCCGCGTTCCCCTCTGCTTCGACATTGAAGTGGGCGACATTGAATGGGTGACAGGGGGCGACATGGACGTGGCGCGTCCACCCCTTTGGATACCACTTTTGCCGAGGGTCGGCCGTGAGGGGCGAAGGCGAAGGCCAGGTGACAAGTTGGCCCTTGCCCCTTGGCCATTGGCGCGCGCGAATCTCGATTGTAAGCTTATGGCAACTACGGCTCTCAGGAGCGTTGCGTATTGGTTCGTCGTGCTCCAGAATGACCCGTAGTTGTTCAAGTAGTTGTTGGGGTCTCGAATCTGGCACTTTGTAGTATTTCCATGTTGTGTTTTCCCATGCTAAAAACCAGCAGATTTACTTGAACACTTGCGGGCCCATCTTGAGTGACAGAAAAATAGCGCCTGACTCTTCTGGGGACTGTAGCTGCCGTAAGGTAGCCATGCAGGCGCCCCACGTGGCAGCGTTGCGTATCGAATCATTCGGCTTCCGTTGCCTTGGGCAACTCGTAACTCGTGCCGGCGCGAGCGGCACATCCTGCATTGCTCGGGAGAGAAAGCACACACAGACACAAATAGTCGTCGATTCTCCGGAAAATATGGGAAATTATGGGCAGGGCGGGGGGGAAGACAAAAACCCAAGAAATGTGACAAACATATTGGGAATCATTTGTGTGTATGTTTTGGTGTGTCCCGGGACTCCTCCTCCTCCTCCTCCTCCTCTTCCTCCTCCTCCTCCTCCTCCTCCTCCTCCCTCCTCCGCCTCCTCCTCCTCCGCCTCCTCCTCCTCCTCCTCCTCCTCCTCCTCCTCACTGTGTTGCCCGCTCTGGCCTGCCCGCGCCCCGGGGGGCGGCGGGGGGCCTCCGCATCGAGGGCTGCAGGGGCCCGGCGGGCCTCTCTTGGAGCCCAAGCGGCGCGCGGCGGAGGAAAGTGAGCAGAGGGGCCAAGGAGAGGAGGGCCTCGGGCATCCTGCAGGGGAAGCGACGCAGAGATCACTTCACAGGAGGAGGAGGAGGAGGAGGAGGAGGAGGAGGAAGAGGAGGAGGAGGAGGAGGCACCGATACCGCTGCCCTTCCCTCGTCTTCCCCTTTTCCTCCTCGGCCTCCTGGGAGGCCCTCGTCGCCGCCGCTGAGTTCGCCTCGAAATTCTGGTCAGGACTCACCCTGGGAGAGCTCTGGGGAGCAGCGGTATCGGTGCCTCCCCAACATTTTCAACGAGGAAATCCGAAGCGAACTGCTCTCGACACAGTGTACCTCAAGCGTGTGTCGCGCAGTCTCTTGGCCGCGCAAGGCACCTGTTGGCGCCCTCTCTCCAGTGTCGGTCATCATGGAACTTCGGGTCGCACCTGCCCAGACCTCGTTTCGCCCTGCTTCGACATTGATGGGGGCAACGTTGAACGGGCGAAAGTGGGCGACTTTGAGACGTGGCGCGTTAATCACTTTTGATATTCATGTTGTCGAGGTTTGTGGGAGCTTCCTGGGGTAGGTCCGCTTTGGGGCCTCTTGGGAGCCTCCTGGGGCCTCCTGGGGGCCTCTTGGCGCCGCCTGGGCCGTCTTAGGGGGACTCTTGGCCCGTCTGACGCCCTTGGAGGCCGTGTTGGGGACCTCTCAATGCCGTCTTGGTGCCCTTTTGGAGTTCTTTGTGGCCGTCTTGGGATCCTCTTGGGTCGACTGGGGGCCCTCTTTGGGGACTCATGGGTTGTCTTGAGCTATCTTGGAGGTCTCTTGGGCGGTGGGAAAGCCAAA